CGCATCTTGAACGAGGGCAGGGGTGCCTCAGAAATGGGACGCTAAGTACTGGGACGTCCCGCGTGAAACGGTTCCAGTGTGAAGAAGGCCTAGACAGTGGCTGCTTCAAAGCATTGTTTTACTTGGGCCCAAGGTGTATTCAACTCCAGGAAACAAGCCCTGGCTAACTGACAGGTAAGAATATGCCTTTGCTCGTAGCTAGTCAACACTACGTGTGAAAAGTGTGCGTGCTGGTGCCGTGGGCAGGAATGCTGGGGTCGAAGGGAGCTGGCAGTATTTTTAGCCGTAAGCATGTATACACGAAGGATAGATGGCTTCATCTCCCCCCCTCCTCTTTTCTTTCTTTCTCTCAAGATGCAAGACACCTCAGGGGCCCAAGGACACAGCGGCCACCTGCTTCTGGACCTGCGGTGGCCAGGTCTCCTGGAAGGTCACAGCCCTGCCCTGCGCATGGCGGCCCCCGCCTGCCTGCCTGCTCACGGAGGAAAGAAAGGATGACCCACTCGCCTTCCCTCCCCTGCTCTCCCCCCACCTCTTACACACGGGGCGAGGACAGGTGATGTCGACAGGGATTGTTCAACCCCTGTCCCCTAAAAATTTAGTCCCCTATCAATATGCATAGACCAAACTGAAGTCAAACATTAAATGAGTCTCAGTCTGTTGCATAAAGTCTCTTAGATACCTTAGCCTTTTTTCATAAAGATGTGACTGGAGGTTTGGTAAAATCACACCTAATCATATTGCTAGTGTCACTGGCACCTCGTTTATTGCGTGACTTCCACGGTGTCAGGTAATGACAGGGTTTCCAAGGCTCAGGAAAGAACAGGCCACCACTCAAGGCCCTGCAGGGGGCGCAAGGCTCAGAACGGCCTTGCGAGGCAGCCCCAAACCAAACCCAACAGCCGGACTGCGGCTGCGCATCTGGGGAGCGGGGGACCGGCTGGCCCTGCCCCAGGGCTCAGGGCACTGCCTTCTCCATCCTGCGCGGGGACGAAAACGCGAGGAAGGCTCGCGTGAGTTCGAAACTCATCAGCGACGGGTGAAAAGCTTTGGTAGATTTTTAAAAAGGAAAAAAAAAAATCTGATGTCACAGCAGGGTGTCCAGCATTGGAAGGGACAAATCAGCCCTGCATATTATTTGGAATGGTAAAAATTCAGCAAGATGAGCTGAGGCACACGTCTGACGGGGTGGGGGGGTCGCCCCCGGCACGGAGCGCGCTCAGGAGCCCGGCTGGGGCTTCGGCAGGGCCGGAGGACCCGTTCCCGCGGGTTAGGAAGGGCACCCCCGACACCGCGTGCTGCGGGGGACGGTCGGGTGGGGCTCACAGCCCACACCTGCTCCTGTTTCCCCAAGGCTGGCAATAAAGGCTCACTTGGAATTTCTAAACTCAAGGCTAAACTTTAAATGTGAGGATCAGGGAGACTGACTCGTTCGTGAGGTTCCGATGTTAGATGTCAGCTCCATTTTTCTTGTTCTCCAGGAGACGCGGCGGCCTGCGGCCTTGGGTGCCCCGGCAGGTCCAGCCTGGCCGCGGTGTCAGAGCTCTTGGTCCCAGGGGTCTGGGGACGGCAGTCTGTTTGGAAGGGTTGTCCATGGGACTTGCCTTGAAGCTGCGTTTGCGTTTAAAAAAGTCTCCTGTTTATTTACAGTCGTCTTGTTTTAGTTAAAAAGCTTTAGAGTGCCTTTTTCATTTTGGGACGATTCTGTCCAGGGGCGAGGACGGGCCTGCGGGCGCTGTAGAGGCCCACGGAAGGGCCACCCCTGCCCCCCGCCCCTGCCTGCACTGCACACAGTTGGCGACAGTGCCCCGCAGGGTTGGTCTCTTAAAGATGGTCCGCCTCGGAGGCCCACGGCCCCGTGTCCCCGCTGCGTTACACCGCATGACCCTTTCTGGGCCTCACCGAAGGACCAAGGACAGAAACCCTGTGCGAGGGATGGAGCCGCGGGAGCTGCGTCCTCTCGCAGCCCACGGAGCGCGCGCGTTAGGCAGTGTTCTCCAGCCGCCTCCCGGAAACCTCTGCGCGGGGGAAGGCCCATGGCGGGGGCTCGAGAAGGCTTCAACATAAACAACGGGTGCCTAGGATGTTACTTTTTAAAAACAGATTCGCCAGAAGCTTCTCTGCTCGAACACTGAGGTGGCTGCCCCGGCACCCCGGCCACGCTTGGGCCTGGGAGCCCCTAGTTCCCTCGGGACTGTGCAAAGCCAGGGGGTTAATCCCCACGAAGCGCGTCTCGGCACGTGGCCGAGACTGTTCTGTGCGGAGCGCAGCGCGGGGAGCGGGGCGGGCGGCCATCGCTCACGCGGTGGCCCTTGGGGGGGCGTCCCGCGTGGTGCGGAGGCCGAGAGAGAACGTGGTCAGGGCTTCTCGCAGACGCCACCACGGCCCCGTGTTGCCCAAGCGCCAAGCGGCCGCCGGGTTTTTGGTACAAATGCTTGTTTTCCAGTGGAGCCTAGACATGCATTGGTTTTATGAAAGAACCCAAGGAGACACATATATGCATTTACAGGTAAGTCATGACGGTTGCATAGGCGTCACACTTTGTGTCCCTCCCGCAGCTGCAGCTCAAGAACACGTGCCCCATGGAACACATTCAAGATGCAATTGCCCACGCATCTCGTGCTCAGAGGATGCAATGGAACAAATCGATCAACTGGATTATTGAAGTTCACACCGAGTCAAAGAAGGTAAAAATATTTACAAAGAAGGGCCTCCCACCACGCTGGGTGCCGGGCCTGGGCTCCTGCAGGAGGGGGAGAGCTTCCCTGCCGCGCGGGGGTCGGACTCCGCCCTCAGCCTTCACAGGGCCTTGCGTCCCAACGACACCTCCTTCTGCAAGCCTGTGCCATTCATAGTGAAGGATGGTTATGCTTTTAGAAATTAAAATGGAAAAATACAGAACTATGCAGTGTTATATCTACCGGGCTTGAGATCTGCAAGTTAAGCAATCATCTGAAATGTAATTATATTGTGTGTTTGCATATGTTTACATGTACAACATGTTAAATCTCTATATCTATCTATCAATTTATTGCTGTCACATAGTCTCAATAATTGCTGAAGCTGGCTCATCCTTGCTCAGGAGAGCTGACCCAAATCTTCAGGGAATTTGCAGGCTGGTGAGGATCTGTTGGCAGCTTGAAAATGGCCACTATGAGACTATGTAGAACATGGAAACTGGACAATTATGCAAATCAGGAATTTTTTCCCTTTGGAGAGAGAGTTAAATAATTTACCAATATGCCACTGTACGTTTGGTCAGAGGAAGGACTTCAAACGTAGTTCAGTTCACAGGGTAGGCAAGAATCAATTTTTAAAAATACCAAAGTTTTTAAAAAAAGTATCTTGCCGTTTAATTTAGTCAATACATTAATAGGCTTCGATTTCCCCTACTTTTCTTATTAAGCAATTTAAAATAAAATGAGTTGAGCATGTTTCTCAATCATGGGTTGTTTTACAACACTTGTGCAAAGATATTTGGGGTGCCTGTTGCCTCATTTGCTGAATCAGAGCCTCCGCATCCGCAGGTCTCAGCTGCAGAACCCGGGACGCTCAAGCTCAATGTGAACGAAAATGGAAACTGTGCAAAGTGGGTGAATCAAATTTCCTTTTTGGTGTAGCTTTTCTGTGTTTATCTTTTGTAAACTCTTATTGAGGTATTTTGCATTAAATTGGTATCTCTGTGTGTGCACGCATAATTATGCACACACACACACACAGGCACACACACACACAAGCCCCAACACATTATAAAATTAGGGAAATGGGGTAACAGGGGTAATTCAATATTCTACTTAAAAACCAGAAATGACATGTGTGAAAAATCATGACAGGTTCATACGTAGCTATTTGATCTGGCCCAGCAGTTCTCTCTTTTCTGAAAGGTTCACAATACTGTCATTTCGACGTCCCCCCGTGGGTTAACGACGCATTGAGGTTAACCACGCACACTCCCGGTTCAGTGACCGCGCTGCCGGGAGTCGCGGACACGGAGGGTGGATCCCCCTTCGTCTGTTAGTTGACGGCTGAGGACGCGCGGAGGTGGGAGTGGACCGTGCGCCACCGTGACTGCGGATGAGAGAGGCCCGGGTTTTGGTGGGCGAAGAAACTCTTGTTGGGCAGAAAGATGTTTTCTGTGCCTGGAGAGAGATGGAAGGAAGGAAGGAAATCCCGACGTGGACGATTCTGCACGAGGACAAAGCAGCAGGAGCAAACCAAGTCGCTGGAGAGATGGGGCCTTTCGTCCGGCGGCCGCAGGGGTGCAGCGTCGACCATCAGGACCCCAGGCGTCCACGTGCACGGCCGTCAGAGAATTCCTTGGTTAAAATAGTAAACCCGGGGCATTTGATTTCTTCACGCACGTGCTGCTGTTTGCGGACAGCAGAGCCCAGGGCTCCTGGGTGGTCGCAGGCGCTGGTGTCGTGCAGACGGGGAGGAGGGGAGAGGCATCTGCGAATTGCAGAGCCGCAGTTCACACCTGCGGCTGCTGTGCATTCATCGCTCCTTTCCCACGAAGGCGGCGGCCCGGAGCTCCTGCGGCCGCAGAACCCCGTGCACCGACCGGAGCAGCGGCGTCGAGAACAGAGGAGCACACACCGAGGCGCGGCGCCGCCTCCCCGCGGGCGCGGTGCCTCCAGCCGGGAACCCCATCCACGCCGTTCCCGTTCCCGGAGCTCGGGGTGGACGCGGACGCACCGCCCTCCGAAAGCAGCGGCCTCCCGGTGGGACGCGACGCTGAAAGGGAGTCCTGCCTTTTCAGGAACAGAAGGCTGCGTTTGGCAAGCTAAACGCCTTCACGAGATTAAAAATAAACAAACTCTCACAACCTGACGGGTGGAAGGAGCCGCCGAGGAGCTGAGGGAGCTCCGTTTTCGGACACCCTGGGCCTGGAACGGTGCTCGGAGGCCGCCCGCAGGGAGGGCTTCGCGCTCAGCGGCGCGGGCCGTGGCGCCCCTTCAGGACCCACACACATCACGCTTAGGACTCAAAGCTGCTCGAAGTGTGTGTTTGTTTGTTTGTTTGTTTTTCAGTCTAAAAAACGCTCGAGCATTAGAGCTCTTTATCAAAATTAAGCATGTTTTGTAAAAGCTTAAATTAGTCCATTCAGTGCACTTGCTTTTAAATAAGTCTATCTTGATTTTCCATCACAGATAGAATTTCAGCTCAATTACACTATTTTCCAAACACTTTGGAAAGAAAATTGTCCAAGTACTGAATCCAGCACAAAGATACTGAATGTGTTCTCTGTGATTTAATTGTTTTTCAGTCCATAGGTAGACTCTACCTGCGAAATTCTTCTCATTTGAATTGGGGGAAGTGATTTTTTGCTTAGCGCTGACTGTACAAATGTTAACTGTCATGCTGAAGGTATATTGATCAGGAATCGACCAAAAAAGCTTAATTTATATTGTTCTGAGTGTAAATGTTTCAATGATAAAAATCTTTTAATGCAGTCCTTAAATACTTTGAATGGTGATTTAATATATAAAAGTATTTGTACAGGTTATTCTTCATCTTCAAAACACTAATTTTGCTTAAATACTCAACAAAAATGAGTTGTTATTTAAAAATATTTTTCATCATTTTATAAAAGATATATGGTATTGTTTTTGGATCTTGCTTGATCTGTCATTTTCCAAGTGATTAACCCTCATGGGTTATATATATTTATGTGACTATGTCTTTAATTATATTTATAAATTTCTTGTCACATACTTGAGGCAAACCTGAGGATAGATCATTGAATAATTATTTTTTCTCTTGTGAAAGATTTCATTTCTCCATTTTCTTTTTTAGTGGTCTTTTGAAGAATCCGACCTGTTGAGAGAATACCAAACATAACACAATTACTCAAGTTTAAGTAAGACATTCTAATCTCCTTGAATAGAAATGAATTAATAATATGTTAGCACTTCTGGGCATATAAGTAATTAACATAATTAAAAGGTTTTTTTCATTGACCTCTTAAGACATATTGAATGCCAAGGAATGACATTTACCAAATTGCTATTTTATTTTTAACCTTTTCATCGGTTAAATATTTTGTCTCCTAGTAAAGCTGGTGCATATGGTAAATGAACTTAAAGGGTCCTGGGAAAATTTGGGAAAACATACAAGCTGCACTTAGCTGGCACTGTCTCAACTTTGCCATCATTTTTTTTTCTCAGGAATGTGGCAGAGAAACTGCCACCAAATAACCGATGGTCATACACCGAGGTCATTTCAGTTGCTGGGGACGGTGGCAGGTTCCTGCAGCTGAATCGGGGAGGCTTCCGAGTCTCCTGTGCTAACTTTAAAGGTGACAGAACATCTGTCTACGCAGGTTTGGCATGAAACCTCTTGAAGCCACTTGGAAACACCCTGCATCATTTGGGCATAAAAATGAAGTCACTGAAAATATGAAAAGTTTCACATGGCGGGGAATGTGTATATTTTTCATTATGCTCTGGGGCATCAAAATGACAATTGTTTTATTTATTCATTTCCTATTATGCAGAATAATAAAAATATGTATAGGGGCTGGAAAGGGGCTTTGTAATAACCTAATCTAAAATGGATATTTAAAAAATTAAGGTTCTTAGAGAGGTTTTTTTTTAAAAGTCTGTACATATATTTTTTTAAAGATTGTATTTATTTAATTTTAGAGAGAGGGGAAGGGAGGGAGAAAGAGAGAGAGAGAAACATCAATGTGTGGTTGCCTCTCTAGCACCTCCTACTGGGGTCCTGGTCTGCAACCTAGGCATGTGCTCTGACTGGGAATCGAACCAGTGACCTTTCAGTTCGCAGGCTGGCACTCAATCCACTGAGCCACACCAACCATGGCTGTATTTTTAAATTTGAGAGTTGGATTACAATAGTTCAAGCAAAAACAATGAATTAATTCTTTGAAAGTGTGGTACCTTCATACCATTTTAATCATATACTGATGATAAATTATGCAAGGGAAGAACATATTTTTTAAAATGACAAGTGATGCAGGGCTTAGAGGAGGTAAATGGTCAAAAATATGCAATGTTAAGTTAGGGAAGTTTTACTCAGAATTTCATTGGTAGTAAATGAGGAAAGGCTGAGAACAGAAAGAATGAGTATGAAAAAACAGTAAACTTGTATTCCTTCGAATGTCGATCTCCTAGATGTCCTGGTCCTTTTCTGTTGGGCCAAGGAAGAACGCTGCGAACTCAGAAACCCACTAGCCCCTGAGCTTGCGCCTGCACTCCCGAGTGGAAAGGACTCAGGCAAGGCTTTCACGAGGCAGGTGCTGAATTGTGAAACTTCTCCTTCCCGCCCTGCCAGCTCCCGATCCACTTCCTCTCCCGAGTCTTGTTCCTTCTTCCCACCGTCCTTTGCTTTCACACATGGCAGGCACTATTGTAAAACTGAACCTCTGTTATCTAAACGTTCCCGCCCAACCCATTCTATGCACGTTGGGTTTATAGTGGAAGCTGGGTGATTAGGGTGGATAGGAGGAGCATAATGTTTATAGCCTCAAAGTGGATGGGGCCAAAATTTGAAACAAGTTTTGTTTTCAGCTCCCAGCCTTTCTTGGAGCTTTCGCTTTCCATATTTACTTAATGATTATATTTAAACTTCCAGAATTCAAAACCTTATTGTGCAGGGTCTGATTAAATGCTCTCTGGTAGAAAGAACCTGCTTAATGACAATAATATGCAATAAATGTTGGATGAATAATACACTTATACTCATGAATAAAAGGCTCAAAAACCCCCGGCCACACCCGCCCCCAAGGCTAGCACAGGGAGTGAGGAAGGAGGCCTGGAATTAGTAAGCGTGAGTAAGGACGTGCTCAGCGCCGGCCTCAGGGCCGGGAGGCGGGCTTCAGAGGGAGGCCTGCTCTGCCCTCTCAGGCCTCCAGTGGGGGCCCAGGCCCACCCTGTTCTCCCGTGGAAAAGCTCAGCGCAGCTCCTGGCATGCAGTAAGCACTCAATAAGTGCTAGTTCCCTTCCCTTCTCCCACGGGTCACCGTTCTGAGGGCTGGACCTCTCCTGAAGGGGCTGGACGGACTCTCCCCACTGGTCAGACGGTCCTTTGGTCCTAAATGACCTAGGAAGCCATCAGACTGTCTTTTCACATTTTTGCTTTTTAAGATTGATGATGAAAAAAACAGGTGGAAGAAACTCATTTCTCTTTTTTAAACAGAGAGAACTGTTTATGTGGTCAGAGAGAACCTCTCCAAATACCGGCTCTGGCCTCCCCTTCTCCCCTTAAAACTATATGGGCAAGCGCAGGGCTCAGAGCAGGAGAGCCCGTGGAAGGAAAGCAAGAGAAAGCCTGGTAAACGCAGGGACCGCATTCTGCAGGTCAAGTGGCGCCTTGACAGCGCTGAGGCGGGCCTCGCGCACCCCAGTGTGGCCACGCCCGGTATTACAGACAGAGCTTGCTCGGTAAAGCGGGAAAGAGCTGGAGGTTTCGGATGCGGGACGATTCTGTCGCAGGGGCTTTGCTGGACAAAGGCTGAGGACCCTGTTGACTGACCTGCATCCGTAATGTGGCTTTGTTCATCTTCTCCTACGAGAGTTCCCGCCCCCAAAAAGAACCCCGGAACATGGGCATTATCAGAGAGTCAGAAATGACCGGAACCATTGGTGGTGGTTTGACGAGAGAGAAATTGGTTAAACTATTTGATAAAAAGAGAATTCTGTTGCTAAGGTGTTAGAAAAATGAATATGGGGCGGAGGGCGTGTGGAGGACTGGGGGGGAAAGAGGGGAAGGGACCGAGCAGTGCAGCCCGGCAGGCGCGGAACCGGCGCGGAACAGGCGCGGAACCGGCGCGGGGACCTAAAGCGCAGCCCAGGGAAGGCAGTGGAGGGCGGCGGGGTACTAGTCACATCGGGGGCACTTTATGGCGTGCGTGACTCTGTGGTCGCTGTGCCGCACACCTGAAACCAATGCAAAGCAATACAGGGACAGAAAAGGGAAACTGAACGTGCATCCACAATCTGTATTTTTATAGTTTAGCTATTCAGCAAAATAATCGGTGAAACATAAGGCGATGGTGTGCTAGAATCAATGCCAATTTGATGTTCATTGGAGAAGCATTAAATTCAGCCCTTCTCTGGGTTTTATTCTCTATTACATTTTCCTAAAAACGATCATATCCTTTCCGCCTCAATTAGAAATGATGGAGTTAAAAAATGTCTGCGTACCTCAGTTTAAGCAAAACATGTAGGTGAATGTAGGGTGTTACTGGATAGAAAAGAGATGTTACTCAGTTTTACAAGAGAATTTGAAATAGAACTCTGTGAAATTATAAGATCTTTCTTTCATCAACTAATTCATAAAATTCTTATCTCTCACCCAGGCACAAAATCATTGCATAAACTGGTATATTTTTTACAAATTAAATAAATATTTTACTTTTAAGAAACATAGAAATATGTGATTAGGATAAGGCTTATCTTATCTATGACTCTATTGCTCTAAATTCTTAAAATGACTTAGGAATCTGTTCTTTCTTTTTTCTATATAAGAGATTTTACATTCTTCTCTGCTTATAAAAGAAATGTACACTTAATTTAAAAAGTCCGGTGTTACAGACATAGCATAAATGTCCCCTATAGTTCCAGCCTCCAGAGAGATCCTCCATGATTTTTGGATATACTCATTTTGTTTTTCTTTTACAAAAATGGGATCAAGTTGTGCACAGCGGTTGAGCAATACATTTTCCTTTTCTCTTGTGTCTCGGTCACGGTCTCACCGTTTTTCACCGCTGTATGACCTTGCATTCCACAGCGTGGACAGGTCACAGCTCCTTTTACCGTTTGCCCTTGACAGTCGCGCCAGGGAGCCAGAGGCGCCGGTGCTCACCTTCCAGAGCGCGAGGACGAGCAGCAGCAGCAGCAGCAGGCCGGCGAACGCGCTCAGCAGGATCACCCACAGGGGCACCCTGCCCGGCAGCCCGTCTTTGGAGATCTGAATAGCAAGCTGAAAACCATTCAACAAGAGGGTTAACGCCGGTCGCCACCTGTTAGACCTCTCTGCGCCGAGCTCTCGCTGGCCCCGGCTTCCTTCCGAACAGCGGCCTTGATCTCATTGCTACAGGCCAGGGAAACGTTGCGTTTACGTGTAAAAACCCCCTTCCTTTATTCTAAATCTCTAACTGTGTCAAGCTTCTTATTGGCAAAAATGACGGCCCCATCCTTCAGAGAGTTGTAAATGCTGTTGTAAAATTTCTTAATTCAAATTATTACTTATTTAAGTAATTATAATGTCAACGACCTCTGATAAATACCGACCTGTAACGGATATATGCATATAATACATAGAACATATGTGTATAATGTTTACTACTTTATAAACAGCGCTTAGCCTGATAAATGCAAAATTGTCCCACACATATAGAAGGCAAAATGTCACCAGTAAGCACCAAAAGCATGGATGCATATTATTGATCTATTGGAAGAGAGTACATTTGATTTAGGATAAAATGTAGGCCTCAGAGGCCTAGTAACCTGCCTCTGCATCGGGGCGCTCCGCGGCAAAGCGGGGCGCAGTGCAGGGAGACCCAGAGCGCGGTCTGCGGGCCTGTGGGCGGACTTCAGCGCTTCGTCGCCAGAGTGCTACCGGCCTGTCGCCTCGGGGTTTGGACACAGAAGTCCAAGTGGTTTCCTCATTTTAATTATACTTCTGATATGCTGTATACTCATTTATTTTTGCAAACTGAGGTATAGTTTTCATACAGTCAAACGCGCCCCTGTCGAGGGTACATATAAATGACTGCGCGCAAATGTATTCGCCCCACTGAGCTTTTCGTTACCCCACGCAGCCTCTGCCGTTGCCTTGGTCGTAGCCGGAATCTGCAAATTAGGTCTTCACTGAAGCGAAGCTTTGAAGGGGTGACCTGTTAGTGCTCCAGCTACCGGAGTCCCTCAGCGTGGCACCCAAACCCCAGTGACACCTGCCGGCTCCGGGTCCCACCCGACGCGGAGGACTAACAGCTCAAGCTTCTGCTGTTGCCTCTAACGGGAAGCATCCCAGTTCCTTAACTGGGGAGAAGACAGAGAGGAAAAGAGGAAACCAGCGGGGGAGAAACTGACTGCCCATCAGCCCCCGGGGCGTGCAGGGCGCGGCGGGTGACAGCCGCACCGAGTGGGCGGAGGGAGGGCCCTTCACGGGCAAGGACCCCGACGGGCGCGGCTCCACGAGCCGACAGGGCGGGGTCTGGGTGGGGTCAGCGACGCCGCTGAGGTCACGCCGTTACCAAGGGACCCCTCTGAGTTACTTTAACAGTTCAGGTGTAAGTTTTCTTTAGGATAAAATGTAGGATAAATAGGCCCATGGGGAATTTTAAACTAACATTTGGGGAAATGCAACTAATTATAAAAATTGTTAACAAAACATTTAGAAATCAAATGTACTCTTTTCCAATAGATCAATATTATGCATTCATGCTTTTGGTGCTTACTGGTGACATTTTGCCTTCTATATGTGTGGGACAATTTTGCATTTATCGGGCAAAGTGCTGTTTATAAAGTAGTAAACATTATACACATATGTTCTATGTATTATATGCATATATCCGTTACAGGTCAGTATTTATCAGAGGTCATTGACATTATAATTACTTAAATAAGTAATAATTTGAATTAAGAAATTTTACAACAGCATCTGAATGTTAGGTAGCTTCCAAATAGAATTTCATGACTCTTAATATGCACATGAGCTATTTAAACTCATCCAGGATATGAGGGAAATTATGATGAAGTGCCTTCATCTCTAACAAATACTTTGGCCTTATTTTATAACACGACAAGAGGGGAAAAAAATCCTAGATCATTTTATTTTTACCAAGGACTTGAGCATGAGTTTGTATTAAGGAATATTACTTTTTTTTTTGTTTCAAATTTCCCAATGACTAAATGAAAAAAAAACTTTAGAAAGTTGACGTCTTCCTGAGCAGTTTAAAAACACTTTCTGTCAAGGAATTGTTTTCCAAATCTGCTCTTCAGATGTCAACTGCATTTTAAAATGTCAGTTCTAAGGTGGAAATTACACACGCGTTATTTGTCATCATGGTGAAAGTGAAAACATCAATTTACCCTGCTCGTTAGAGGCAGGGAAGGCAAACATGGCATGTGAAGTGTAAATATGGTTTTCCCCAGTTTCATTCAAAGAAGAACGAGGCTGAAGTCACAGTTGAGGCTAATCAAGTCTAATTTGAAGCAAACAGTGTCTGTCACTGAGAGCAGCACCAGCCACTGCGTCCGGGGCTCCAGGCAATTACAGAACATCATGTCACAAAATTCAGAATGAAAAGGATAATGATCTCAGAACTGGGAGTTCCACTTGCCTGCCGCTTTTGATTGCCAGGACTCAACACCAGCGATGTGTTCTCGCTCTGAAGTTCTGCCCTTACCGTAAGATTTAAGCTGGAAAAACGTGTCTGAAAAGCAAACAGGTTTTATTTTCAATATATTATGCTAAGCACAATAAGAGCGAGTCATGTTTGAGTAGTATTTTTTGGTGCAACTTTCTGTGAGTTTGATTTTTATTTCCAAATACCAAAATTTTTAATTAAGTGTATTGGGGTGATGTTGGTTAATAAAATTCTGTAGGTTTCAAGTGAACATTTCTATGACACCTCATCTGCATACTGCACTGTGTGCCTACTGCCCAAAGTCAAATCTTCTTGCCACCATATATTTGACCCCCTTAATTCTTGACTACCCCACCCCCTTTTCTGAGAGATTAAAAACACTGGTTTGCTAACATCCAAGTGGAACTCGTGCTATCGAATGATGACTGTGCAACCACCTTTCCTCCCAGCCCTCAAATTCTCACTTAGGTCCTCCTTACAGAAGGGATGGACTCAGGTGGTCCTTGGCAAACCCAGACCTCCGGCCCCGCCCCTTTTTGTGTAGGTAGGTTTGAAAGGATGAGGTGTATATAGGAGTCTGTTTCGGATTAAACATGAAATCGCCACTATTCGACAACTTGTCACTTGCAAAACTCACACCTACTGTGATCACCTCTAAAAATGAAAATCTCATGTAATTAGTCAACTACTTGTAAGAGAGAAACCAACAATGCAAAATACATTCAAAATACAAAAATTAATGCTAAATTCTAAGGTAGCTCGTTGTCAGAGGATATGACTTTATTAGGTGTTAAAATGTCCTCCAAATTATATATTTGATATATAAATGTTGTATATCTATTTATATAGATATAGGTATAGATAGTTAGCCTGATCTAATACAATGAGCCCAAAATATATGTTAGCTCTAGTCTTTGTTAATGGTATTGAGGATTATCTATAATTCTTTGTCTCTAAACTGAGTTCTAAAGTATTAAGAGCAAACTTTCGTATTACATAGGTGTTTCTCTTTCAAAATGCACAGAAAAAGGATAAGGAAGACTGGGGAAGTGCATGTATCTGGGAGGGGACCTTGAAGATAGTAGGAGACCAGGGACATGAGACCCAACTAGCTGGCTAAGCAGGGCCCGGGCTTGGACCACCTGTTTTAGACTTCTCGTCTTGTGTTCTTTCTAGAGCAGCACTTCGCTTTGCACATACTAAGTACTAAACAGACACTTGTTCACAGAACAATGCAAGCACTTACTTTTATAAAAGTTGGTTTCCACAAGATAAGTGAAACATTCACTTGGCTCACGTCAGAAGGGATCAGATGGCACGTGATGGTAGCGAATTTACACGCACTGCAGTCCTGTTTGAATATCCACAGGTCTCTGTTAGTATTTTTGACATTGGATAAGAGAGGACATATGAGACTAGTCTACGGCCGCTATTCTTAGGTCCTCGTGGAACTGGCTCACTTGGAAGCAGGAGGCAAAGCTGGCCCTTGCTGTGGGGACCTGAACCTACCAGCATGGTGCCTCGCTTGATGTCTTCGGATGTCAGCGTAATCGTCTTCTTCCCAGAGTTGATACCGAGCGGATCCTGAAGGTCACTGGGTCTGCAGTGTGCGTTCTAAGAAACGAAAATATTTCCTTTATCAGGCAGTGCGAGGTGTCAGAGGGAGAAAGGATTTGGTGCGATCACACAAAGACTCTGTGAATGGCTGTCGTGGACACAGAGGAAGACCCATCGTTGAGTGTGCAAGGTGCAGGGGGGGCCCTCTGCTCCAGGCATGGGCAGCCTCCTCCAGGTGGGATGCCTTTCTGTCCCCGAGCCACTTCTGAGCTGTGGGAGGTGGCAGTGAGGTCTTTGTGAAGGAGGAAGGTTGCTGGTAAAAGTTATGTAAGTCAATGACGTCCGCGATGTCGGCCCGTGTGCTGCGGCCTGTTGATGAGCAACGAGAGCTTTTATGCCATGCGCTACCCACCTTCTGTCCTGGGCACCGGCCTCTTCTCCCCTAGACGGTCAAACGAAGAAATGGCCACAGCCAGCACAGCACTAGCCGTCTGGTGGGAATGAATCAAAAGTATACCTGTATTTTTGTCAGATAGGCAAAAAATATATTTTTTGGTGTGCCACAGATTTTAGTAATTAGTGTATGTGTGTCATGAGATGAGAAAGGTTGAAAATTGCTGATTTAAGTCATACTTATTTCAAGTGTATTAATTTTGTAAATGGCCATAATACAGAGAGAACAAAAAATTAAAATTCTATTAGAAAAAAGAGCCTTTGTTATTCAGCATGACAGCTTGAATAATGACTTAAAAGACAAAGATTTTCTTCTGTGTTTCCATATTCATCCAGTCTCATCTCTGGAGTCCCTCTGCACCGAGCGAGAGACGCAACGGGGGAGGAAGGCGAGGGACGCCGCCTTGGGGGTGTTCAGGTGCCGCGTTTATGAAAGAGCCTTTCTTGGACTGGTTCTCTAGTCTTCATCTAACAAACCTCCGGCTTCCCCAGGACTCTCCACATCCATGATGGAAGGTAACGAGGATAAAGAAAGGTTCATGAGTAGTAGGGACAGCACAGTTTTATTCTTTGTAGATTCTCACAACCCTGCTCTTTTGGATTAGAGGGAAATGCCAGAGGTTTATTTTTCCCTTGCCTTTAGCAAAACATGTCGCTATGACAAGTCAACTACCATTGTTGCTGTTTCCCGATTTCTGAGAATACTTTACATTTTTAAAAACTCTGAAAAGAAGGCCCATTGTGATTTCCTTTGTTGTAAAGGTTGAACCATAACAGTTAACTACCATGTAGACTCATTCTGTGTCCCAGGCACTAAGCGGTATGATGTTGCTATTGTTTGGTGTTTATTGCTATTGCTGTCAGTGAGTAACAGTGTTGTACTATTTTGTGTGTAGCTCTGTATGTTTAGGAGCAATTAAGGAGTCTCCAGAGTTGTATGAACACCTCAAACAAATTAAAGGCATAACATATTTCAGGCATAAGTCAAAAAATTAGTGATCTAAAATCTACTCTCATGGACTGAATAGCAGCCAGCAGAGTCTAGGGGCTTCTCCCTCCAACCTCCGGAAAGAACCAACACTGTGCACACCTTGACCTCAGACCTCGGTCTCCCAGAGCTGAGGGAGAATCAATTTCTGTGCCTTTGGCTGCCCACTTCCGGGCCCTCGGTTACCACGGCAGCTGCAGAGAATCAATATATCTACTAAATAAGAGTGGAAGTTCCTATTCTTTAAAATCTTTTTCTGGACGTCTCTCCGTGTTCCTTTGTTCGAGCTCTTTTGTGAGTGGCGTGCAGAGCAGAGAGCTTGACACACACACTCAGACAGGTGGCAGCGACGACAACCCCAGGCACCGCGCGTGACTTACGTCAGAAGATGACCACCCGCTTGGGTAGAGCACAGGGTAGCCATCCGACGTCAGGTTGGGGAAGGAAATGGAGAGCTTGAGCTCCGGCATCGGGAAATGTCCGCTCTTCCCAACCTACGGGAGGAAAACCCAGAAATGTAATCCTTTCTTCCTCTTCCAGCAGCGCGCTGTCTGACGCAGGACATCGGTGCTCACTGCTGACTGGCTGGCGTAGTATTTGGACCCTTCAAAATAAGTGCAGATGGTGTAGAATGCAGGGCAGAGAATCGGCACACCCACACAGGCGAAAAACAGGGATGCCTGAGGGTCAGCCATCACACGCCCCGGACACAGCCATGTTCCTTCACCCCTCCGCTCCCCAAATAGGACCGAGACTCAGAAAAAAAATCGGAGTTAATTTTTTTCGTTGTCAGTTTACCATGTTCAGCGTCCTTTCCCACATCCCCATCTTTTGGGAGGTGGGAAGGAGAGAGAGCATCTACCTGGTGCATTCAGAACCAGGGAGCGCATTTTTGTTTGCCTTACCCCAGGTCGCTACAATTCCACACGCCCCTTCTCACCCCCGCCAGAAGGGGGGGCCCGCAGCCCGGGCAGACCCGACCCCGTTGGCCGCTCTCACAGCTCTCCCCCCAGCAGGGGTCGCTGTGCCCCTGGCGGCGGGCAGGTCAGTCCCTGAGAATCGGACGGACCCTCGGCCCGGTCTCCATCTGCTTCCGTCTACTAACCCCTATTCCTACCTCATGCCCCATCACGCCACCAGTGGCGAGTTCTTCCTGGTATTTGGTCAGAAATCATGTACTCTGTAATTGGCTTTTTTTTTTCTGGTTAAAAACAATGTTCCTCATAGAAACATTTAAAAATACTGAAAATAAACTTTTTCCTGTAAACTCAGGGAGTCTTGGGGAACACGCCTTATCAGTCGCTTAGTAACAACCACACCATTAATAGTGATTGTTTGTTGGTTACATTCCAGGCACTGTGCTACCTTTCTTACTTGTTTTATTGCCTTTAACTCTGTTAACAGCCCTATGATGTGGATTCACGTATTATCCCTGTTATATCTATTAAAAAAACCAGGTTAGCATGAGAATAAAGCTATTCCAAGCTCAGAGTTGGTGAATAGCAGAATTAGCGTGTTTTGTCCCCAGTGGGCCTCCTGAACTATTATAATAGCTGTCTTGCCACTGAGTAACTCCATGAGAATTTATTTAAGCAATTTCGCGTTGTAAAGCAAGGCCCCCAACCCCCGGGCCACGGGCTGGCACCTGGCCCACCCAGCAGGAGGCGAGCTTAAAGGCAATGCGCTTGAATTATCCCCAAACCTCCCCTCCAACCCGGGTCCACAGAAAAACCGTCTTCCAGGAAACCAGGCCCTGCTGAAACAAAGGCGGGGCACTGCTCTAAAGCATTTCGGTTGTGCCCGGGGGTTAATTTTTAAACTACTATAAATGCCATCATTAAGAATATCTCAGCATAAATCTTTGTTTGTATCACCAATAATTACCTGTAGGGAATTTCTAGCAGTAAAGTTATTGGATCTTACCTACAAAAAGAGTTTGTATTTAAAAAAATTCAATTACTCAAACTTTAGATTTTACGCGGGCAAAATAATCAGAAACACACAAGATTAATTCTCAGGGATATTCTGAACGATGTTATTTATTTCAACATTGTAATAGATTGGGAGTACCTGTTTCAACTCTGGATGCTCATAAATGACAATATATAAACATCTACAACATTCAAAGTCGCTTCCTCCCTCCCCCCCTCCCCTCCTCCCCTCCTCCCTCCTCCCCCCGCTTCCTTTCCTTCCCTCCTCCCTTCTCCTCTCTCTCTTTTTTCCTTCCTTTCTTGTGTCTGCTGGATTTCCTAATCCTGGAAAGTGAACGGGGCTAGGAAAGTCTGGTAGTTTGAATTCCAAAAATGCCTCCCAGTAGTAGAAGGACGGGCATTTATGATAACTTCCAGGGTACAGCTTATCATAGGCATTTCAGCAAAAGGCACAACTAGCAACAATGAAATGCATCTTGGGAGCACACATTCACTTCACTTTGTAAGAGAGATTCCTTTTTCATTGTGGCAATTTCAAAGAGTTGGAGACCATCTTCACCTGTTACAATATGTGGGTTGCATTATTGAACAATTTTGACTATGGGTTTAAGCCCAGCATTTGCATCGGCCCGCTTGTGCTTGCGAACTATTACCCTGAGCCTGTGTCTGCCGGCAGGCGTCACCCCGCGGAAGTCTGGCTCAGCTCCTGGGCTGCGTGCGACGGTGGGGAGGAAAGCCTGCCGCGGACAGGTCCCAAAGACAGCAGTTGTCATAAAAAAGATCACTTAAAGGGGTGCTAGTGAGAACGAACGTTAGAGCGTAATACATACAGAGAGTCGCAATGAGCAGAATGAGGTACGTATTAATCCGTTGAGTAAATAAAAACATTACCAAGGCAATTTTAAATAATCAATTTCTGCAACAGGAATTGTTTTTTAAAAAGTGCTTTACTCCGTCATACTAAAAAATAATGTGAATATGACAGGTAGTACCTTTTTGGTTTCATAGTTTTTCTAGGAAAGCATTCTAATTAATTGTGTGTTACTATCAAGAAATTAGAGGATTAAGTCTTTAAAGCTGCTACAAATATAATGATCAATTAAATAAAAGTATTTTTAAAACAGAGAAACTATGAAGAAAGATATGCTGGATAGGGACTGTTGAACCAACGTGTTTCTACATGTCCATTAATACTCTCATTTAGAACTTTACAAATAACTTTTTAAAATACTACTTTAAAAGTAACTTCTTACCAAGTAGAAGATATTGATTTCATTTCCAATGTCCTCAGTAGAATTAACAGCTTCTGGCACTGTCTCATTGGCCTCAATTGAAATATGGTATTCACTGGCAGAGCTTGAAAGAATTCATTGGAAGAAGCAAAATAAAACACAGCAACGTTTAACTCTTATTTAGCCTCATTCTTTTTCTTTCTACATACCATGGAAGCCCATAAAAAATAGTTACAGAGATTTCAAGTCAGAGACAAATTCTTTTACCCTAAAGCCTAAAGTCAATTTTTTTAAGTACCTAAAACAATGTATTTATTTTAGCTTTTTTAAGAAATTTTTATTATAAAATCAAATCTTTGAGGAGGGTTAGAAGGATTGTATATAATTTAGTTCAGTAGTCACTGATATTTAAATGACCTTAAAATGTTAAAATATGTATAGTTTTAAAAAGAAAAATCTCATTGTTACCAAATGAAAAGTCTTCATGAATTCACTAATATCACATACATTTTGTGAATAGTCAGGCTAAACCTTGGCGTTTTTAGTAGTGCTGAATTTTAAATAGATTTTTAAAAACTGTTACTTTTTCACTGTTTGAAGTACTATATTTACTGCTAAATTTAAAAATTCAATCTTTTCTATACTACTTCTTTGTGATCTCTGGGTGAACTTAGTAGAATAAAATATAATATAAACATATTTTTAAGCAGCACTTCAGTTAAGAGAAGACAAATAAAAAAATAAGTATTTGCCAAAGTTTGTTTTAAATAAATGAAAAATTCTTGAGATAAGTGTCCAAGAGAAGTGGATACAGAAAAATAGGAAATGGCCAATAAAATTTAAAGGCTAAGAGACATAAGCAACGTCTGCATGGGTACCCTGCACGCCTCATTTTCGTGTTCTGTTACCAGTGAAAGGAAAAGCCACAGAACACCAATCAATACAGTGATAAGCCTTTTAGACTGAACTTGACACTGATTCTCATACTTTTTGTATTCATTGCACATACGTGTTCAGGCAAAGCTTGGAGTCCTGCTCAAACAAAGCAATCTGTAGTAGGAAAAGTTGCCCACGTGACTGGTGTTTGGCGAGACTGAAGTTCATAGGAGAAAGGGATAGTTTGTGGAGAACAGAAGCAAGCAGCAGCTCTCGTCAAGGAGAAGTGATTTAATGCTGTGTATCCGGAAGGGACAGGCTGCTCAGATCCCACCCAATGGAAACGGCCCTCAAACTCTGCTGGTGGCCAGAGAGACAGGGCCTTTCGGCAAGGGCTTCTGGGCCTCCGTGCACCTGGAGGTGGTAAGGCGGGGTTCCAAGGCAGCGCCGCCCCGGGGCACGGCAGGTGCAGGTTACTGGGCGTGGGGCTCTCCCACTTCGGGGCCACAGAACTGCTGGGGGCGGGGCTGGGCGGGGCTGAGAATTCGCCTCCAGGAAGTGACGAGGTGGCCCTGATGCCCGTGGCCAGGGCCGGGGAGCGCGGGGCCGGGACCCCTGGGTCCGCAGAAGGGCATCAACGTCTAAGTTTCCTCCTACCTGTGAAACTGGAGTCCGACTTCGTATTTCACTGGGAGGGAAATGCTGACCTCGTTATCCGAAAGGGTTGCCGGAGGTTCTTCGCTGTCACTGGAAAATGCATAGCACATTCAGACAGAGCGTTCACCCACCGACTACTTAGAGGTCTTTCTGAGCATTTGAAAGAGAAGCTTCAGCTGGTAACTAAATGAAAGTACAGAAGAGCTCCATTCTTGATGTTTTTAATGAGGTGAGGAGGGGCGGCGGAGAGCAGTGTGGCTAAAAGGTCCCGAGTTGGTTGTGAAGAGCCACCAGAGTTGAAAGCCACACTGACTTAGTCCCGAGTTTCTCAGACTTCCGGGAGGGTACTAAGAATCCTCGGGTCAGTTCTTAAACACACAGGTGACGGGGCTTCTCTCCTAGAGATATGGATTTTGTAGGTCCAGGTTGGGGCGATTTTAACGGGAGACTCTTACTTGTTTACCAGAGATGAGGACCTTGTCTAGGGTCACACAGCTGGGGGCGGATCTGAAAGCTTCTGTCTTCAGTTTAATCGTCTTTCCAAACTGAGTACTCGGTGCTCACCCTAATCTGTCCCTTGGTTTTAGTTATCATTTCAATCATGCATTACGTAAACACGTGTGGATAGGTGTATACGCGCAGGTACACATTTGCGTATCTTCTAATGCCCCCTCTTAAAAAGCGTGGGTGAGTGATTTCACAGTTACCAAGACTGGCTCTGGGGTCGGAGTCCATGAGGTTGTTCTTGCACATGGACACACTTTGGGTGGGCTAGTTATTCTCTGGGACTTGGTTTTTTCACCTATAAAATGGAGATTTTATTTAAATATTTAATAACTGCTGAGTAACAAGTGGGTGTAAAGTGCTTAACAGGGACATAATGTGTCAGCTTTCAGTATTACCATTACACACACTCCTCTACCAAGCAACTGAGGACCTAGCATTCTGTCTCACGAAACGGCCAGTGGGTACCTTCCTCATGTCTCTGCTTTGCTCCCGACGGTGTTAAGTGGCCTCGTGTCTGTGACAGGGCAGTAAAGGCAGCCTCCACTCAGGGGAGAGATCTTGGAGTGACTGGGCTTTTGTTATGAACGCCCCTCATCGCCTGCCTATCTCACCTTGTAGCCTAACGAATCTCCCCAAGAAGCAGCTCTGTACCTACAACTCCACCCCTCAAAGGCTTTTCTGGCTCCTCACGGCCTGTTCAATTAAGCGAAAAATGGCTTGCCCTGGCTGGCTTGGCTTAGTGGATTGAGTGCTGGCCTGCAGACCAAAAGGTCGCTGGTTCGATTCCAGGTCAGGGCACATGCCTGGGTTGTGGGCCAGGTCCCCAGTAGGGGGCGGGTGCGAGAGGCAACCAATCGATGTTTCTCTTCGCACATCAATGTTTCTTTCCCTCTCTTTCTCCCTCCCTTCCCCTCTCTGTGAAAATAAATAAATAAAATCTTCTTTAAAAAAAAGAAAAATGCCTCAATCCTGATATTCAGTACTTGCCATAACATGGGGTGAAGCACACTCCGTATGTATTCCGTGTAGCTGAGCGAAACTGAAGGACCTGGCATTCCTCCAAGCTGACCTAGTGACCTCCTTTTGAGTTTTTGCTTGAGCTGTGCATTTTGCCTGAAATGCTCCACACAAATTCCAGGACTCCTTTGCGAACTGTTCTCCATCCATTAAGGACCTTCTCAATGATAATCTCCTTGATAAGGCTGTCTTGAGTTCCCATTCCTAAGTAGATATACTTTCTCCCCCTTCTAAGTCTCTGACTCAAGGCCTAGGTTTCTCTGATGGATTTTCCTTATTCTACCCTGAATGGCAAGAATTTAGACACCAGTCTCAGCCCCATATGGTAATATTCACCCAATGAAGAAGTTCATGTCTTTATTAAGTTTTATATTCCCTACAGTGACGAATTTAATATCTTGTCCATTGTAGATATCAAAGAAATATTTGCTGAGTTGAAATGTGCATATAGAATTATCTGTCCATTAATTCATCCTCTCATTTATTCATTCATTCTACGTTTATTTAGTGATTATTAGGTGTCAGGTATCATGGTAGTTACTTGAGAATAAAGCAATAAAAGATAGAACTAGATCTCAGGGTGCTTTTGGTCCATTGGATAATTAAAATTAGAAGAAAGTTAAGCCACTATTTCAATTGTTTTATTAACCTTTTGCTTTTTTAAGTCTACGTGTTCTATGTTATCTTTCAGAAGCTTTGATTGATTTAGATAAAATTTATTAAACTACTGAAAGGTATCATAAAACTAAATCTGTCTAATGATTTAGTTGACCTTGATGGACAGCCAGTATTAGTTTTAAATTAGCAGAGCCTGTACAATTTAAATGAATTTAAAAGCAGTTTGGCAGATGAAAGTGGCATGATTACAACAAGTTCTGCAGCTCATAGGAAAAAAATGGCTTAATCTAATTAGAGAATTAAATTATTTCTATTAAATAAAAATGTCTTTATTTTGCTCATCACTCATACACATGCACTCACGCACACATATAAACCAACCTTGTTGCACTTAAGTGAATGGTCACATTTTCCATGAGATAGGATGTGTTAAATTGAAATAGTATTTTGAAAGTCACCTATGAAATAAAAATATACATCTTTAGTTTAGGATCGGATAAAGAAAACACTTACTTTGATTAAAATATTCAGTTACATAAATGATATTACCTAAACTGAAATCATGAAGTTATTTAAGAAATATCATCTTACAAAATAAAAACTCATCATGTCTCAAAACTAGAATAAGATATGATGTACACACACTTTCAACATGAAATGCACAATGCCTTGTATATTAATATTGAATTTAAACACTTCATTCAAATTTTATTCACAATAACAATTTACACTAAACATAAACCATTACATGAAGGCCCATCCTATTTGTTTTATTATATTATCAAAGTTTAGGAGGTCACAATCATAAACAATATAATTATGAAGTGATGATAACTAAAGTCTATAAATCTTCAAATATCAGCAACTGACTGTAAATACGTATTGTAAAATAGAGGAAAAGATACTTGATGCTGTTAATTTGATCGTGTAAAGAAGTTTTGGTGCTTTAAGGAACAACGACAACACAGTAAAACACAATAAAAGACTTGGCTGTTGAGAATAAAGTAAACTATAAAAAAGTAGTGAGCTGTGTTTATAACAGCTTGCATAGTTAAAATAACATCTCAGAGAAGCTGGAAAGCATTTTTGCTATGCTGACACCAGATACATATACCCGCCTGAGCATATACGTGAATTTCGTGAGGCATGATTCTTCGTCAACACCACAGGCAGCCCAGACACTAGATTCACTGGAAGGCACAGGCCAGCAGCTGAGATCCAGGCCTAGAGCCCTCACAACCGTTATAAAACCTGGTTTTCCATTCCCCAAGCTAACCTTGGTTTGTGCCATGTTTGGAATTGGGCCAGCAATACAGATGGTCCAAAATGCACAGTGAAAACTACTAAAATTCTGTCTTTGCAGTTAAGTGCTGGACAGGACAGAGTTTGATATGTAAAGCTCTTTTAATCAATTTAGGCACCACTCGCAGAAGGGATAACTAGAATTCGTGGGTCACGAGACACGCATCGTTGTGCTACATTATTTGCAGAGGGTTTTGTTTGTTTGTTTGGTGTTTTCCTCTTTCACTTATATCTTGAGTTACATTAAAAAATATTTCTTTTAAAAATCCTTAGCTCTGCAGTTTTCCTCTTGCTTTGAAATGGCAATGGCAGTTCCGCTAGAGGTTGCACTGGGCGGGCTGGAATGACAGTGGACAAAGGGCCAGGCTGCCAGGGCCGGTCAGTGAAGGGCCGTTTTCCTGCCTTCCCCGGGTCCCCGGACCCGCCCGGGCGGGGAAGTCCGGGCGCTCCTGACGAGGCTGCAGACCTAGGGGAGGCCTTTGTAGAGGAGCGGGGCTGGAGAGAAGCTACCTATTGCATATTAACCTGATCCTGCGATGCTCCAACTATAAATCGAGATCTTAAAACTGAAGTGTATTTTAAGTGTAAAACCCATCTAAGAATAAGTTGCAAAATATCCTAATTATCTCCCCATCTCACTATTGGTGACGTGAGGCACTTTGATTTAGGCTTTTGCCCTAAGCAGGAAGGAATTGCTAAAGGAAGAAAGACATGGTTAATAAGTGATTAGGATTGTAATTAATGTCTCTAATGGTTGGAGTATAATGTGAAGCATGGCAATATTCTTTGAGAAAATTAGATAATTCCATGGTTCATTAAAATGGTCAAGGAACAGAGTAGACAAAAATCAAAATTCCTTATTTCCATGTCAAATTAGCGGAATTATGGGTGTGTTTTTTGAAATGTGAAGTGTGTTTTATAGATTTGCACAGAAGAAATTCAATTTCACAGTACATTTTATTTGGGATAGTCAAGAAATAGACTTTACGATGAGGTTCCAAAAATAAACTGGTGTGTCTTGTTAGTTCTGTAAACTGAAATGGACACAGAAGAGATTTATTGAATTTGATGATAATTACTGTGATTCATAGTTTCCTGGAACACTAGTCACCATGCTACATGTATTAAAAGGAACGGCCTTTTTGAATTCTCATTTGCAAAAAGAAAAGCTAAAAGATCTTATCATGGATATGTGACCGCTCTCTCCAGATGTCCACCCCAGAGTTCATAGTGTTTACAGGGGTGTGTCAGGCTAGTGGGGTCTATTTTGAAGTCTTATATTATAAACCATTATGATATGGGAGAGTTGGAATACATACTGGCGATAATGTTTCTCTTTTTTCTTTAAGTCAAAGTCAAGTTAGTAAAGTATCTTCCTATCTGAATCACTTTGATTCATTAAATGTTTCCATCACTCACTTAATAGTAAATGGAGGAGCAAATATTTATACTGAAAAGTAACTGTCAATGAAAATATATGCTAATACCTTGTTTATCATTAAGTGAGGTAACTATTCTCTGCTTTCCATGGAAACACACATTGTCTTTAATATTGAATATATTTAATATTTAATGAAATTGCTTACTTCACTTCTCTTCAACTACTACAGGAGCTTCTAGCCAGGGCAATTATGTAAGAAAAAGAAATGAAAGGTATTGGATTGGAAGGAGTTCCTCTCTCTGCAGATGACAGGATCTTGTATATAGACTATTTTGTGGGATCCTCTACAAAACTATGAGAACTGATAAATAATTTCAATAAGATGGCAGGGTAAATGATCAATATTTCAAAACAAGTTCTATTTCTATATATTAGCAATAAAAATCCCTGGAAATAAGTTTAAGAAAATAACTCTATTTAAAATAATATCAGAAAGAATAAAATGCTTAGGAATAAATTTAACCAAGTAAGTACAAAACATATATTCTGAAAACTATAAAACATTTTAGAAAGCAATTGAAGAAACTCTAAATAAATGTTAAAACATCCCACTGTTGTGGATAAGAAGACAATATTTTTAAGGCAGTAATATTCTCCAAATTGATTTACAGATTCATTGTGATCCCTACCAAACTTCAGAAAATAACAAGCCGATCCTAAAGTACAAATGGAAATGATTTTAAAAAACAGCTGGAAGTCTTACATTTCCTAATTTAAAACTTAAAACAAAGCTGCAATAATCAAAACAGCGTGGTACTGACATAAAGATAGACATAGCAGTCAATGGAATATGATTAAGAGTCAAGAATCACGGATTTTCGGCGAGCGTGCCAAGGTAATTCAAGTCTTTAGACAAATGGTGCGGGACAACCGGAAACCCACGGACTAAGGAAGAAATTGGATTCTTGCCTTACACCAGACAAAAAAGTTCATTAAACTGGATCACGGGCCTACATGTAAGAGCTAAAACCATACAACTCTTGGAAGAAAACAGGAGTAAATCTTTGTGACCTTGAATTAGGCAAAGCATTCCTAAATACACCACCAAAAACATGAGTGACAAAAGAGTGAATAAGACTTCATCAAAGTAAAAACTTTTATGCGTCAAAGGATAGCATCAAGAGTGAAAAGACAACACACCGAATGGGAGAAAATAGTTGCAAATAATCTATCTGAGAAGCTACTTGAACGTAGAATACATGAAGAGCTCTTACAACTCAGGAATAGAAAGACATCCCAATGAAAAAATAGCTGAAGGATCTGAATAAACATTTCCATTCAGATAGACACATGGCCAATAAGCACAAGAAAAAATGTTCAATAGAACTGGTCATTAGGAAGTGCAAATTAAAACCACAATGAGGTATGAATTCACACTCACTAGGATTATTATCAAAAAGACAGACAGTAACAATGCAAAGAAACTGGAGCCCTCATGCATTGCTGGTCGGAAGGCGACAGGGTGTGGGGGCCACTTTGGAAAACAGCGTGGCAGTTCCCTGAACTGTGACACATAGTTTCCATATAACCCAACAATTCCATCCCTGGACTTACACCCAAGAGAACTGAAAACATATGTCCACACCAAAATCTGTACACAACTATTCTCAGCAGGATCATTCGTAGTAGTCAAAAAGTAGAGACAACCTCAATGCCAATCAACAGATGAATGAATGAGTGAATAAAAGGTGATACAGTCACACGATGGAGTATTATTTGGAAGTAAAAAGGAATAAACTACTGATATATAAATGAACCTTAAAAACGTTATGCTAAGTGAAAAGCCAATCACGAAAGACCACAGATGGGACGAGTTCATTTATATACAATGTCAGCATAGGCAAATCCATAGAGAAGGAGAGCCGATCCGCGGTTGTCAGGGGTTTGGGGAGGAAGCATTGAGGAAAAGAGACAGTAACTGGTCATGTGTACAGGGTTCCTTTTGGGGACGTGAAAATGCTCCGATGCAGATCACGGTGACGCTTGCGTAGTTCACAGTCTGGCGAATATACGAAAGCCATTGATTCATACACTTTAAATGAGTGAATTGTATGGTATATGAACTATTCTATCTCAATGAGGCTTTTACTGCAAAGGGAGAGAAAAACGACAGCAGAGCTTCTATACGAAGCCCTAAACCGACCTGTTTGAAAAGTTCTATTTCCCACAGGTTGGAAAAGACCACCCCATAGCAACCTCAATATGAGAATTTTCTAGCTCCATGTTGTCAGATAAGTTTTCTAGCATAAATTCGTAATTTTGTCTTGGTGTCTGAGTTTGGCTCATGCAATAACTGCCTTTCGATTCCAAGAGCTCGAAGTTTAAACTCAATCTTCTTCACCGACACCGCCCTAAAGTACCACGAGAAGGAATTTATATTTGGCACTGAGCATATTATTTTTCATATCCCATTGCTACGTGTACTTGGTATAATCTGCTCACCATTTCTCCTTTTCTCAGGAAAGGATATCCAACTTTACATGTGATGTTGTGATTGGATTCACAGCTGTCTTTTTGGATTGCCTAGGGAAAGAAAGGAAACAGAATTAGAGCCGACGTGCAGGTGAAATCCTTGAGTTTGGTTTTCGAGAATTTTCCCAGCTGTGCTTGCACTCTGTCTTGCTGTGACTGGGAAAGTCCCAGAATTCTGGGGTCACCTGTCCCCACAGCCCGCGGACACCTGAAAACATCGCTTATAATGGCGGGGGACGGGCGCGGCTGGGGGAAGGAGAGAGCACATCGTATGGTTCTGTCTGGATCTTCCGCTGTGAGGTGGGAGAACCCACAGCACCCACCGCACAGGGTGCATAGGCGGCTGGGTGAAGAGTCACACGGGCCACACTGGCACGTGGGAGCCCACGGGGAACGGCAGCGGGGGAGGGCAGTGGGGCTCCGCCCAGGCCACGGGGGTTTGAACCCTGCCTCCACCGCTCTTAGCTTTGTCCTTGTCAAGAGTCCTGCTTTTCTGTCACGTGGGGTTCGTTATGCTCCATCTCGCTGGATGTAAAATGCCATTCACTATGAGAATCATTATTTTATACGTCACACGACGGCACTGGCAGGCTGCCAGGTTAACCAACGCACCATCGCCTGTGGGACGCACCTAGAGGAAGGTCACAGCGCGCAGGGAAAGCGCGTGCTGTGCAGCCTCCGCCCTGCCGTCACACCTCCTCGCAAGGAATCTCTGAGCATCAAACAAGCGAAGCGCTGTCGTCGCTCTCAGGCTCAAGGAAGGCAGCTGCTGCGGCGGCTGCGGGCACTGCGGCCCCCAGCGGGGGAGACGCGCTGCCGCCTTCGCGCGCCCCGGCCCTGAGCGCAGCGGCGGATGCGGCACCGCGACACCGGGAACATCCTCTCGTCATCGCCGTGCCCGTTTGGACTTGTAATTAACATTCTTAACCGAGAATATGGGGTCGTAATACAGGGCATTTTTGCAAACCTTAGTCATGTTACTAAGTGATCTCTTGACAAATGGAGAAAAATACCAGTAAAAATATGAATTCACAGGAACTGAACAACAGAATTTAATAGTATGTAAGTGTATCGGCTTTTAAGATGCCTAATGTTAAAATGATCAATTCATTTATAATTAATTTATATGCATACACACAGAATTTTAACTCCAGGAGATTCATTCAGAAATCAGAACTAAAAGCAAAGTGGGTGCTAATTATTCCCGAGATAGCGTCTTATGTAGCTACAGGTTTCTGCCAAAATAATTTAAAAGCTGGAATGGCAATGAGACAGTCATTTCACACAACTCTCTCGTCTACGTAAGGACTTTACATAGCCAGCGGGGAACGGAACCTTGATTTTTCCGGCCGTAGGTGTGTTTCCGGTCCACACCGGCGTGGCTCCCTCTCTGCGCCTTGACTTCACTGTTATCTTTAGCTTTTCTTGACTCAGTCTCAACGGCAGCGCTTTAAGGATTCTGTGGAATCTCATTGTGATACATCGGAGATCCTTCCCTTATCTTGAACCCAAGAAGAGACAGGCGTCTCCAAAGAATTATATCAAAACAAAAGCTCTCAAGAATGTTTTAGTGTTTTCATCATTCGAGGGTATGAATTTTATACAAAATGTGCTCTCTTATAAAAATCAACATACTAATAAGTAACTAGTTCAGTAGTGTGAAAAGTAGGTTCAATAGACCATGAGTCTGAGAACAAAGGGTTGCAAAACGGAAAGTTTACCTCGATTCCTGAAAAAATGAGGTTGGGAGAATAGTGTGCCATGGTCCGGGTGTTGTAGGCGCTGTCGCCGTTGTTTCTGACCGTGAGGCTGACGTTGAACTTGTCGCTGTGGGACCGGACGAGCAGCAGGCTCTGCTCTGTGGTCAAGGCTTCCAGGGCGAGGTCCGAGATGCACCTGTCCTTGTTCCCACAATCCTTGGCGAAGGGAATCTGAAATGGTCCCAGGGGAGCACTTTTCAAAATTTAGCTTCTCATTAATTGAATGAAAGAAAAGACATATTGACAAATGAGCATCTCTTAGGGAGGACAGATTTCGCGGCAGGAATCATCAGACAGCTTCTGTCTGACCCTATCATCTGTAGGGGAAATGAGTAAACTTTGACTTTTGCATAGAAATTCGTCCCGTCCTTTAAAGAATGCACACCGTTTCCACGGATGTGTCTCACTGGCTTCAGTCTGCGAGGATAGAAGGGTCGCAGAAACTCAAGTCAGGCACTTGGAGGCCTAAATCTATGAGGGCACTTTAACACTCACTCCAATGAGGAGCTGTTCTATTCAGAAGAATCCAACATTACTTAGGAACGTGCCCGTGTTCAGTCAGGAGGGTGGAAGATGGTCAAGCCACACAGCGGGGGGCTTTCCGTGACCCCTCTCTCTCACGAAGCCCCCCCTCAATCCAATTCATCGCCAAGGGCTGCCCTTTCTACCCCTCCCGACATACCTCCCGAATCCTTTCTCCGCTCTCTGTTCCCACCTCCTCCTCCGGTCCAGCCACCCTCTTTTCCTCCCTGACCTAAAGGGACAGCTTCCCAGCTGGTCCCCTGCACCTACTGTCCTGTGGTCACCCCCCACGTTGCAGCCGGAGTGATCCTCAACGTAATATAAGCCCAGAGCCACCACGGAACCAAGCCCAGCCACCGACGACGGCGGCATTCCACGGCCCTTCCGAAACGTCCGACCTCTGCGCAGGGGCCCGCAGGACGACCGGCTGGCAGCTGCCCGCGCCTCCCCACCAGCCTCACCATCGCCTTGCCCTTCGCCTTCAGCTGCGCTGCCGAGGTGAGTGCAGTTTTGCTCTTTATGCCTCAGACCCTTTACATGCTCCCTCCATGCGTCCAGCTAGGACAGACGATCACGTATCCCACAGCCTTAACCTCGGGGCGTGCCCGCTGACACCCCAAGCCAGGCAGAAGCTCCTCGGGAGCTCCCACGCCCTGCTGCGTGGCCCGCCCTCTAAGGACTGCCGAATCCGTGTTTGCTGGCCCTGGCCCACAGCTCTGCCACCCGCTGGGTGGGAGACACTCAACAAAGCGACTTGGGAGGAAGAGAGGAAGGGAGGGAGGGAGGAAGGAAGGAAGGAGAGTGGAAGGCAGGGTGGGGCGCAGGGTTGCGGGGGGCAGTCCCCGTCCTTCTCCGGGCTCTCTCCTTCCTTCCCGGGGCTGGGGCGTGGACCCAGAATGTGGGAGCAGCACCTGGCTGGGCAGGGGCCAGCCCCTGCCTGTCCCTTCTGCCCGAGGGGCAGTGGCATTCTGCGCGTGTGACGAGGCAGCCCCGTGGAGAGGGCCTGGCCCGCTGAGCAGGCCGGGGCCACTCGGTTATCTGCGGCCTGAGTCTGGGTCAGTAGGACGTTGCCAAAGTCACTCGGATACAAATTCTTTCCTGGCTGAGTCCAGAACAAAGGTTTAAGCGCCCATTAAGATCCAAAAGACTTTGGGAAGTTTGGAAAGCAGTTCGTTCTTTTCCATACAGGTGTTAGACGCTACATTATACCTAGAAGAGTTCCAACAAACCAAGCCAAGTGCTACTTTTCATGGGTGATGGAAGGGCGTTGCGGTCGGCCAGCCCATGCCCTCCTTCGAACTGGTCCTGAATTCAGGAGGGATAGAACGGGCGTCATTTATAAGTTCCCTTAAACTCCAATAACTGAAAGTTTAAAAAAGTTGGGAAAAGTCGACAACCATCTAGACCTTTTTTAAAAAAGACGTAATTGAGTTAGAGCTGTGTGTCTGTGCCTGCTGGAATGTGTCGTACCTGTCACACATGCACATACACCCCTCAATCAATTACATACGTGCGTGTGTGTGTCTGTTTATGTATTTCAAGTTTTTCCTCAATATAGTCACAAATAGACATTCCAAAGTAAAAGAACAATGACTTACGTATTCATGTACTGAATTGGGTATCGAATCATCAAGAATGGGCCCATTGTCCGGGCCGATAAGATTAAAGTCCACGGTCACCCTGACAGAGTCCCGGAAGTCATGCTTGTCCTGGAGGTCAAAACAGAACACATCATTGGTATCATATTTCCTGGACGTTCTGACCTTGATAGGGCTTCCCTTTCCTGTCCCTGGGGGCCAGCCCTGCTGGAACATTCTTGGGCACCTGATCAGACGTCTGGCCTCCTCCGACTTTGCTTTGCAGGGGACGGCCTGCCCTGTCCCTGGACAAGGGCCACAGCAGGAACGCAGAGGCCCCAGGTGATGGCCTGCTGACCCACCTCGGCTCCTCCGAGGGGCCACTGGAGAGATGGGACGTGTCACGCCTCGCCGTGGCGGGATGGGCCACTGGGAGCCACGCATATAACAACGCCATTTCTCCTGAGACCGCGAGCTAAAAACCACTATGCAGTACTTCTAGGAAAGTCTCCCAATTCAGAGGAGCAAACGTCTTTTAAATTGAGTTGCATTTCATCAATAGGCTATCTATCTTGAATTGTAAGACTTACATAAGGTGAAAGACATGTAAATAACACTAATACGATCGATATTTTTCAGGCTATCAGCAGTAGCAACACCATTTATGGCCTGTCCAGAACTAGCAGCTTTATACACATTACTGAGAATTATTTCCATAGTCATCCAAGATGAGTCACTATTATGCACGTCATTTCATAGATGAAAAACTGAACCTGTAAGACACTGAACAACTTCGCCAAAATCACCTGGATACAAAGTCCATCGAGGCTGAGTCCAGAACAAATGTTAAAGTATCCATGAAGATCCAAAAGACTGTGGGGAATTTGGCAACTAGCTCATTCCTTTTAATACAAGCGCTAGATATCGCAGTTTGGACATATACACACTACTGCGCTTTGCATGAGGCTGGAAGCCGTGTCCGCCTGACTTCATGGCCTCTCCCATTGTACCCCCATCTCAGTCCCTGGATGTCAGCCCCGAAGGACTCCCGTAGGCGGGACAACTCCAAGTGTTCTTTTCTGATCATAGATCGATCTCAGTGTTGACAGAGTAAGTTTATTTTGACATATGTCATGGGGAATAGTGACATGAAAATCACCGAGGAAAAGTCTCTAAGGTTCAGAATCTGTGTTTTCTCATTACCTCCATTCTGTTCTTGTTTCTTTTTTAAAGCAAATATGTAAGAAACTCTTGCCCTCGGTTGGAAGCGCTCCTTATATACATCGTGGCCCAATGAGACACACTGAAAACGGCTCACATTAGCTCACCAGCTATTTCTACAGATGAATAATTTGCTTTCCAAGGCTCACCCAACCACCAAAATAGAAAGAAACTTAGGGAGCACAAAGCCTGCAGAGGATGAAAATACCAGGTGTTTTCCCTTTCAGTGTCAAGTCAAAGAATGAAAGGGTGGTTCAGGCCAAGAAGAGGCCACAGACGGCGCGTGGCCCAGCAGTGCTGCTCAGGGCATGGAATCTTTTATCATCCGCACTTCATGGGCAAGGCCGGCAGAAAGCACAGGCTTGCCAGTTGGAGGAACGTAAGAAGGAAGAGACAGGTTTCTTATTGCCTTGCCGTTCCCGAAGCCACGGCTCTCTGAGAACACACGCAGGAAGACGAAAGGTAGTTTTTTTCTATACGATGTACTTGGAAATTAGGAAATCATACCTGTGACTTTCTGATAAAAGCGAACAAACAGAGTTTATTTCATGATGGGCACTTTGAAATAAAACCAGAAAGAAGGGACTGACTTGAAATAAGACATCTATGCTCTCATCTTGATTTGGAATAAGGCAGCTATAATATATGATTTACTTGCCAACATGTAGAAGAAATGCTTAGTGCATTTGGACTTCCGAACGGTGATGTCTCTTTGAATCTTCCTCTCTTGGGTCCCAGAGAAAAAACTTCGTGATATTTGTCTTAGTGAATCTAGCGTGACACGGTACTGCATATCTGGGAAAATTAAAAAAAGAATAATGGACGGAAATGTTTTTGGAGTGATTTTCATATGACCCAGCTTATTAAATTAGCATGATAGAAAAGTCTCTTGGGCAATCAGTCAACGTAAAGCTTCTGTTGTTTGGTGTATCGACACGGCCACAGTGCAAGGGTTACCGACCGGCATGCAGCGGGCCTGCAGGCACTCTGTGGAATGGCTTTGCACATTCACTATACTCTGAATGTTTAATTACACTTATCCTGTACTATATATGCATGCACACACACACCCCCCTTACCTATAACCTAATTTCCTGACCATGCCTTTTCTTACTGGATTTACTTGCTTAGAATATTATGTTATATTTTAATAAAGACAAAAAAAAATTTAATGGCACTTTTACCTATTTAATAAAAAGTGTCATTTTAGACTATGCTCAGAAGATGTAATAAATTAAGCTTACGAAGTATGTTTAATAAATTAAGCATACCGCAATAAGGATAGCAAGTTAAACTTTGTGCTTTCGATGAAGGTGACAATTCTTACTCGATCACTTAGTCACTCTATAGAAATTAAATAAAACTGAAAGAATGTTACATATGAAAATGTAAATCATTATTTCCCATTCCGATACCTCATTTGTTCTTGTCGGAGGACTACTGCAAGGCATAAATATGCACACAGAGCACACTAAGAAAAATAGATTTTAGAGATTAATGTTTCCCTCATTCCACTTATATTTGGTTTGCAGAGTAAATTGCTCTTCTGCAGCCAATGGCCTTCATAGTTTTGACTCCGACATATTTCAATATCATTAGGGGGAAAAAAGCCTCAGAGAGTCATGTGTGCGGAGAGGAGGGGGACCCCCGGGCTGCTGGGATGGGCCTGCCTGTCAGGCTCCCAAGGACGAGGGCCACCTTAGCGGGACAAGGGGCCGGGGCAGTGGCCGGCCCCTTGCTCCTGTCCCCTGCAATTCCAGCCCTGCCAGGAGAGGGCAGCAGCGGCCCAGGGGCTTCTCCACGAGATCGTGGCGTCGCTGGGCGCAGGGGACCCAGCTCCTAAGCGCTATCTCTGAATGGCCTCTCCCCACTTCTGTCTGTCTGTCTGTCTCTCTCTCCTGTTTATTCTCCAAGCACCGACCGTTTACAGGAAGTGTGGCGCTCCAGGGGGACGCTGGGATGGGGGGGCCACCATCTTGGCGCCTGCTCGGGGTTCCCTGGGCTCCACCGCCCGTCCCTTCCGCGCGGGGGTTTCGTCGGCGGCTGCACCTGCTTGCCCGGAGAGCGGGCTGCGCGGACCTCTCGCCAGGGAAACACGGCGCCCCGCCGGCTGCGGCGACTGCGTCGCCCTCCTGCCGCCGAGCGTGGGCTGCCTGCAGCGCACTTACCAGCCTCGTAAACAGTGTGCTCTTTGGACTTCAGTTTCACATCAAAACACACTGTGGCGTTTATGCATACTGTTTCCTTTCCCTCCATGCGACAGTTTTTCTTTTGAATGTTCACTTTATTCGGTTCAAAATTCATGGTCACTTTAACGACAGCCACGTCCCGGGACCTAGAAACGCATCAACGATGGTGATCACTCCCCCGTGTTTGCACTACAGAATGCTGTCCTTTGGGGGTCCAGGGCGAGCGCATCGGAGGGGGTGGTCCTCCGTGGATGACATGGGCCCTCCCCACTCCATTTCTCTGGTGAATTTATCACAAACGAGATTGTATCTGGCCTCCTGAGGACACTCGGTTGCTTTGGAAGCATCTTAGGCTCCTGTGTATAAAAGGGAGCAGAGTGCGCCATCCCCAGCTTTGATGGAAGGAGCTCAGGCCACACCGTGCCTGCATGCGCTGCATTCGTCTGTTGCTTGTTTGGAGCTGCGGGCCCTCAGACATGCAGGAGGGCTTTCCTGGCACGCCCTCGCCTGCCTGAGGACAGGCCCTCCAGAAGGGCCACAGCTGTCCTAGATCCGTCCTGGGGGTGCCCACGGCCAGGGAGCACCCGCTCATCACAGGAGCGGGCCGGGGCGCGCACCACGCCCAGACACGCCTCCGCCCTGACGTCACGCCTCCACCCAGTCTCCTAGGGCGGCTCCTCTCCCTAGGAAGCCTCCGCTGCCCCTGAGAGTCCAGCGCTTCCCCTATTAAATGGTGCTTAGCCTGAACCCTAAGCCTCCTTGGGGAGTTACTCAATTTTCCCTGGGTATCTCCCATGTATCCAGGAGGTGTACATGGTAATTGAGTTTGAGATCAACAGTTCAAACAAAAACAAAATGTATGTACTCTTTGTTCCTCACATCGGTGATTTCTGGTTTCAGGGAGTCTTCTCCGAGGTCACAGCCTCTTGCTGCCTAGCATTCTCCTTTCCTAGGCACGGCGTTTTGGTTTACTTTTCTCTTGAGTTATATGTACAGCAAGTGTATACAGAGTTATAGGTATAGCGACTGTACATAGTTATATGTATAATAACTATGTAGAGTTATATGTATAAGTAGCTACATGTGTAGTAATTGTATGAATAATTATATGTATAGCAAGTGTATATATACAAAGTCTGTCCAGAAAGAGTCCAGCCATTGCTAATAATAAAAAGAATGGTTTGCACAACATCGATGTAACCTGGAAGCTAAGGAGAGTGGACTGGAATGCACACGTGTGAACAATGACAACTTCACTGTACTAGTCAGTGGCGGCGGTAGACGCTGTTGAATGAGCATGTGCACTGTGTGGCCGTCCCATTCAAAATGACTGATCAAGTGGAGCAATGCATCTGCATCAAATTTTGTGTGAAGCTTGAACGTTCCTCCATGGAAACTGTTCAGATGATACAAAAGGCCACAGCCATGGGCGGCTGGTGACTGGCAGCTTCATCGTGACAATGCACCGGCTCGTGCCTCACGTCTTGAGCAGTTTTTTGGCAAAACATCAAACCACCCAGGTGGCTCAGCCCCCCTGCAGCGCAGATGTGGCGCCCTGTGACCTCTGGCTTTTCCCAAAACTAAAATCACCTTTGAAAGGGGAGAGATTTCACACTGTCATTGAGATTCAGGAAAATACGATGGGGCAGCTGATGGTGACTGGGAGAACTGGGTGAGGTCCCAGGGTGCCTGCTTGAGGGGGGCGGAGGCGTCCTTGTCCTCTGTACAATGGTTTCTTATGTCTTGCTCAATAAATGTCTCTATTTTTCATATTAAATGTCTGGATAACTTCTGTACAGACCTCAGTTATATGTATACCAAGTGTATATATAGTTTTACTATATATATATAGTAACTGTATATGTAGTTATATGTATAGCAAGTGTATATATATTTATATGTATAACTCAAACATTTTTTAACATTTTTAACATTATCTGTGTATGATTTAGTATACAATTTTTACTTGACTCAGTTTTGTCTTAGATTATAACAAAGTTATCAATTTTCAGGTCTCTATCTTCACTTCGGTTTTTCCCAGTATTTTTTAACTACTCTTCGAGAAACATTTTTGGAAAAATGACCATTGAAATTTGTTTTCACCTGATTTACATTAAGTCAATAGTCAATTTAAAAGAATCAGCATGTGAACTTTCCATTGAGGTTCATATCATAAATATAGTTTTCATTTATTAAATTCTTCCTCTATATTTCTTGAGAAAGTCTGTAACATTTTAAAAAATTATCATACAAAATTCTCATTAATGTTATTTTTCATATACTTTTAACCACCTTTTTTTCAAATAGAACCTATTTTGAAGTTGTTTTTAACTAGTTAAAAGTAGAGTTATTAATGCTATTAACTAATAAATTATTTTATTAATAAATAAAATGACATTAATATATGTATTTGGCCATGGACTAGGATTTTACAATTAACTGAAATTAATTTGGGGATGTAGGCATTTTTAAGGTTCCACAAATTAAGGGTCGATTGTATTTGTCCCTTTAATATTACTTATTGACTTCCCCAGCTTACCAAACTGCATAATTTTTATCTGAATAATGGAGCACAACGGGAAATTAATATTTGGTATGATAGAAGCTTCGATCATCCCCTGGAACTGCTGGTGAAACGGCCGATTTATTGGGTGCTATTAAAATACGTACCAGAAGAGGGCAGCACCACCCAGGCCCCCGATGGTCACATCCGTCAGGCCGTCCCCGTTTAAGTCCATTTCTCCGTGAATGGACTGGCCGAAGAATTTCAGTGTCTCGCCGTCGCCGCCGGATGGAATACGCTGTGAAAACCCCAGCCGAGAGTTTCTATGTCAGAAGAGTGTCTTCTAAAACGGTTTTAAATAAATCTGAGAACTTGGATTGGTTAACACACTATTAAAGTGAAAGAACTTTTGGAAAGCGGCCCACGAGGCCCCTCATCTGGAGACAAGAGAAATCACCCAGATGCTCCCAACGGATATTCTTTTTATAGCACAAAATCACGTCAGGGTTCCTGACACCAGAGAGAGGAAGGAAAAACCACACCACGTCATCTTGTCCGCCCCCGCAGGGAAACACTGGCGTTGGCTCTGCCCTCGGTTCCCGGGCAGCCCCAGGACGCGGAGGACCTGAAGGCGCGGGAACCTGGGGACACAGCGCCCAGCCGCGCGGAGCGGGAACCGGCCTGGTCAGCTCGCGCACCGGACTGGGGGCCGGGTGTGGAGAGCGCACCCCATCAAATGCATTTTGCAACAAGCAGTCATCTTCGCAGTCTGTGAAAGGCTGTCCTGCAAGCCAAGGGCGCAGTAGACTCCCTCCCACTCACGGGCGTCCACTGCGTGGGGAGGGCGCAGGAGAGCACGGAGTTCTCCAGGGCCGGATCGTGCACATCCCCACGCGCCATGACTGCCACCTGTACTTCCCGACTTAGTTTTGGTTCCAGCTGATGCTATTTTCACAGAGCCCCATGGTAAGGAGACAGGACAGACAGATAGTCCCTGAACTTGGGGTTTTCTCATCCTCCTATTTTCCACTTACAAATGATCAATGAAGAAGCCAAATAAGACAAACCAAATGGAACATTTTTCACGCCTAAATGTGTGTGGCTCATTGGGGTCCATTTCCTTATTTTTTTTTCCTCCCACAAGCAAATCAGGAGACACCTGCATCCTTGGTTCTAGACGAGTTCACCCTGTGTGATTCGGGGTCAACCCTACATACAAGCAGCACCTCGGGCTGCCATGGAAATGAGGGAGCCTATCCTCGCTTATCCTTGGGAAAACATTCTGCCAATGATTAAAGGAGCTCAACTCTAACATTCTTTGTTGTTGTTTAAAGCTGTGTCTTGATTTATCACCATTTTACAAAATCGATCGCTTATGACAACTCTATTCCATTTATCAATAATTTAAAATCCTTCCTTTTTTTCTTTTTTTATGGCCAATGCCACTCCACTAAATCTGCAGGGTCACTGCAGAAGGAACACAGTGGTAGCACCCACGGAGGAGACTTGTCCTGCACAGCCGGGCTCCCTCATGCCCCGGAATTCCGGGAAAGTGAATAGTACTGTGCCCGTGGACAGAAACCAACCACTGGGTAAACGGGTAGCGGTGGCGGCGCTGCCCGCAGGGGGCGCCCTTCATTTTGCTGTTTCCCGACCAGAGCCCTGGTAACTTCATGAAAAGCTCAGCCCAGCTCCTCCACACACGAACCAGGTGTGAGAATCCCGCTGAGCACAGCATGGAAGAGAACAATCAAAGGTAAAAGGAATCCATGTCCCGATTTTCTTTTCTTATACAAACTACCAACTAGTGAATTCCATTTTATTTCTAAGTAATTGTCCACTGCTTAACTACGGTTACTTAAAAACGATAGTGTTGTTTTTCTACTGCATTAAGCACTTCTGGAAATTTATATTTTTCTCGTATAGGAAAAAAAATTACCCTTGTGGGTTAGAGCCATTAATTAACAGTAAGTTTAGAACAGGAGCAACAGAGACCCCCTGCAGGTTAAGTCTAATTATTCAGATGGGTTTTTTTTTCCCAAGAGGGATTACTTATGAGATAATGATAAACTTTTGGAAACTTAAATTCATTTGCTGAAAATATATTCCAATTTAATTCATAAGTATGAATGTAACAGTTTTATTATAACAATGTGGATCCTGGCTATAAAACCGATAATCTCATCTTTATTGGCACAATCCTCTAACTGGCGTTCTCTCGTTCAGAGAGCGGCCCTCCCTGCTTTGGATCAGCTGTACTGCACCTGTCCGCCAGCGGTGTTAAAAAGTGCTCCTTTGTTTTGGGTGCTTTTGTTTGTTTTTTTACCGTTTCAAAAAATCAGGTTATGGAGACCTGCGACACAACAGGAAAAGCTAGATAAAAAGATGAAATACAAAGTAATTCTTCTCTAAAGATGAGAGAGAAGCAGAAATCTTCAGCAGAGTCAGCAGACAGACACGCAAGCGCCCAGGAGGCCGCCCCCGAGGCCTGGCGTCGACGGGCCCCCGCGCGGCCTCACCTGCGCCGGCTGCCCCCGCAGAGTCCGGCCGCTGCCGTGGAAGATGTACACGGCGCCCGCGTGGTCGTCCTCCAGCGGCGCGCCGATCACCACGTCGTTGAGCCCGTCCAGGTTGAGGTCTTTCACGGCCGCGATCGCCGTTCCGAAGCGGGCCCCGCACGGCTCGTTTTTGTTCTTTTTCGTGCACGAGTTGTGCTTCAGAGCCGAGCAGCACGTCTGTTTAACCGGTTCCAGGCTCATTTGATATTCAAACCTTGTCTGGCAGAAAGAGAAACGGCCCGTTTACGGGTGCCCACCGCGCCGGCCGCCGAGGGGGATTTTCCAAGGGCTCACTACATCGGCGCTAGTAAGGCCACTTGGACATCAACTGCCGCCACGTTCGTAAAATTTCTGAAACGCTCGGCCCAGCTCAGCGCCAAGCTAGAGAGTTTAAAGAACAGATCATAGACGTGAGGGAAAGACGAGTGGAGGATTTCAATGGATTCCTTTTTAATGCAACTGAGTGTATAACTCACAGCATTTTTTTTTTTAAAGCAAAAGAGCTGAATTTTGAAATCCTCAGTTCACATCACTATCCTTTCTTCGTGCAACAGTGCGCTTGTTTGAAAGTCTCTACAGACTCTCTCTTAGAGGGAAAATTTACTCTGTTCAAAAGCAAAATTTTCCCAAACCTGTCCAGAGTGAAAACAGCCAAAAGCTTAGGGAAGGCCAGGAAGTACTAGCAACCATGGACAGGAACACGCTTTCTGGGGAAAAGGGGAAAACAGTACAGGGAACAAAAAAGGTGATGGGAGGAAGCTCCCCAACACCCCCCCCCCCCATAAAACCTCTTCCAGTGAAGAAATGGAGAATTATTGTACCTAACAAATGTCTAAAGTCAGGAGCGGGAGACAGAATCTCAGCCCAGCCCAGCGCAGCATCCAAAGACCAGGGCGGTGCGCCCAGGGTGTCTGCGGCCACTGCTGTGAGATCCCCCGCCTCCCCGGAGCGGTCACCTCCAGGCCAGGGCCCATGAGTGGCCGCCTGCGACCTGACTTGGCTGGTCAGTGAGATTTATATTGACTTTTATCCTATACATTATGTTTAAAAAAAAAAAAAGTTCACATTTTCGAAGCAGAAACTATCCCATAGCTGGAACTACTTCATTAGAATTCCTGAAATCTTCTCGGCTTCCTTTTCCAAAGGGTGTGAAAAATGAGAACTACCTTACTGAGCTGAAATTAAAAGGAAGGGAGAGACTCCCCTGGCAGGCGCCGCCCTTTCCGCCCCCATTACCTGATTCACCGCGTACACGTACACTTTCCCTTGCTCCTCCTTCTCGGAGCCCATGAACATCGGGGCTCCCACCAGAAGGACGTCAGTGCGAGAGTCTTTATCAATGTCCACTGTGGTTAAAACGCTGCCGAAGTAGGAGCCGATCTGGGACACAGAGAGATCCAAACAAACGGCCTGATGACCACCAGAGACTCTGGAGGAAGCCGAAACCCTGCATTTCCTGTGCTTAGACCAATCCGGGGGCCCGTGAGACTCGGGCGGCGCAGGACGGGAGCGACAGAAACGGGTGCCCCCGAGAGCTCGGCCGGCGCTGGCGGGAGGCTGACGACTAGTCATGTGTCACCTGGAGGGACGGCCGTTGGAGATGCCACAGCCCGAGAGAAACGAGTCCCTTTAGATGCCCCCCCACCCCTTCTTCTCCACTGATCAGAAGAGATCAGTCACACTGCCGTGATGTTTTCTTAAAGGAAAGGAAACGAGACAAGCAGCAGAAGGCGTTTGGACAGGGTTCCAGGGCGCGCGTACGTGTGGCGGTGTGAACGCGGGCGCTAGCGCACGTCCTGGGGGGCTGACCCGTATCGCGACAGGGAGCGGCAGGTTTCACCTTAGAGTCCATACTGCCGAATGAGATATTTTCCAGTTCATAGGCTACAAATAATTTCCAGTTGCCCCCGGGAGAAAATGCTGATTCTCCAGCCTGCCATTCAATGCCTCCCACCAGCAGGGCCCAGTCTCCTCAACTGGCCTGTTCACTGCTCCTTCTACCCGCTTCTGACTTCCCTTCTAGACGTGCCCGATTTCATCCCTTATCAAGACCTTTTGCACCCACCTGAGCTGAAAACCACCTTTCCACCTCCAGAATGTACGGCCTGATCCACCGTCAACCTTACCCCCTAATGTTTCCCCTCTCTTTTCTGGCATGTGTGTTTGCACCCCTATATCTACGGCTGTTATCAGTCCGTCTTGGCTCCATCCCCACCCAACTGAAGTCTTCCTGAGGCGGAGGACCCAGGACCCGAAGGCCGGGCCCACTCCCAGCGGAGGTGAAATGCCGGGGCGGGGGGACGGGGTACTGGTTTTCTTTCCAGTTTAGGCAGCAGGCAGTTAAATGTACACAGGCAGAGTAAGAATGGATTAATTTTCAATAACCTCCGAGCTTACCTGCTCTCCACGGAGCGTCTGGAGAATCCTGACGTTCTGACCTTCCATCCGGTAGATGACGACCTGGCCTGTGTGGTTGTAGCGGGGCTGGCCCGCGAGATACAGCACGTCTCCGGGGACGGTGGCGGAAGTGACTGTGTACCCTGACATAGGAGAGACACCAGGGATGTGCGCTGACCCCTTACAGCCTGCACCCACTGAATCCAGAGCCCCTTCCGGTGGTTGGGAGAATCACTTTTATGTTTTTACACAGATCTCCTTTTTTTTTAAAAAAAAAAAATAAATGTGTGTATATTTAAATGCAGATAAGTTTGTTTTCATAGAAGCTTTTAGTGTGCTCTCTGATTGGCTACCACAAGTGCTTTGTCCTAAAAAGGTATTTTTCCCCCTACCTCAGTTTTCCTTTGTTTAAAGGCACATATAACAACGATGACAGGAAAAGAAATTAACTCACAAAAACTCTTGCCATTGCAATTTAACACTGTGTAATAAATCATTTTTTTTCTCATCTGGACAGATGTGTCTCTGTGCTACAGAAATTAATAATTTTAAATAATTGGAATCCTAGCAAATGCAAGACTTTCCCGTGTTGTGGCCTAGGTGTTAAATTGTACTGTTAAATGCTTGAAGCTGGTTTCTCTGAGTTAAAGCATAGAGGTGTGCATTGTACCACAGGATCATTCCCCGACAGAATGGTAACATTTAGGTGGTTTTAATTTTTGGGTATTATACTTAAGCCTGGAAAGATATCTTTCAATATTTAAGTTTTTTCTTCCTTTTGGATTTTTTTGATGATAAATTTCAAGGACTAGCTTAGTGAATACAATTTTTAATGGTTATTACAGTGTTTGGCAAATTGTTTCTGGTACATTTGTACTAATTCCATGAACAACTACTAAAGGAGAGAAGAGTTTTCTTCAAACTCTTCCAAATGCTATGTATCATTACTATTATTAAGTTGTGGATGTTCTAGAAGATGCTAAACATAATCTAATAAAAGTGACTTGCTGTGATTTTAATTTGCATTTGTTTGATTTAAAGTGAGCTTGGCTCTGGCCAGGTCACTTGGTTGGCTGGAGTGTTGTCCCAGTACACCAAGGTTGTGGGTTCGATCCTTGGTCAGGGCACATACAAGAATCAGCCACTGAGTGCTTCGATAAATGGAACAACAGACTGATGTTTCTCTTTCTCTCAAAAATCAATACATTAAAAAAATTTAAAAAGTCAGCTTGAACAGCTTTTCATGTTTAATCATTCCTCCTTTTAATTGGGCTTTCATGCCCTTTAGGATTTTAAATTGAATCTTTAAAACAAATTATTACTAATTTCTGAGTGAAGAATTGTATTTTTGTGTCTCTAGATAACAGAGCTAAATCAATAAATAAAAATGATGCCCATCAGATGTCAACTGTACAGAAGGAAGAAGTGTTCTAATAACTCTCACCATCCACCATGGGAGCAGAAAGCAGATTATTTTTGAAAATGTCACAGAATGGCATTTCTCACTGAGAAAAAGATCATATTGATAATTTACCTACCAAGTATTTCAACATAAGGTCATAGTTCCACTTTTTTCCCCTCAATATTTTGATAAGGAAACAGATTTTTGTACTAAAATGTGTTTTATTCTTACAAGTAGTGCTAAAGAAACATAATTCCTCCGGCCTGCCTTCCTTATGAATATTTTTCTCACATTCTCATTTCATCTTCCTTTGAGTGTCTAAAACTTATTATACATAGCAGACTATTCTTTTCCAGACCATAATGTGCCACATTTCTATGTCACTAACTAGACTATTGCTTAACAACACAATGGTAGGGTCATGTTTACGCGAAAGTAAAACGGAGATGGGACGCCGCTGGGGCTCATGGGGCACCCGGCTGGGAATCGGGGGCGGGAGGAGAGCGCGTCCGGGGACCCTGCCTATTTTTTTTTCCTTTTAATTTTCAGAATGAGAGATGCAAACTAATACAAGGACCTTTAAAAATAAGTGTGAACTATGCTCGAGGCTTATGGTTGCGGATGGCTCAGAGCGCGGACTCTGATGATCGGCACCTGGCAACCACCGCCGCGTATCAGCGGGACCTTCGCGGGGACCGTCCCTGGTGGCCCCGTAGTCGCTGCTGAATGGAGGCGGGGGGGGGGGGGGGGGGGGGGGGGTGGGGGGCGGCGCCTAAAGACAATGCAGAGGGAGGGCAAAGAAGGCCAGGTGCGGGCCCATGTTAATGAGCGGAAAATAAGTATAACGTTTACACTTACTATCGCTCTCAGAAAAGGAAAGGAGAGGAAACGGAAACGGAAAGGCACGAAATGGGAAGGAAAACTGCGGGCGCAGCCTGCGCGTGGGCTTCCCAAGAGGAAGCGCCGCCAGCGGTGCCCACCGGCCCCCAGGAAGCGTCCTGGCCGCGGGCGGGCGCCGGCAGGTGCATCGGCCCGGGCGCCGCCTCTGCCTCCCATCCCTCGGTCTCGCTGGCGCTGTCTCCCTGGGTTAGAAATCGTCGAGCTGGAGGAGGGGCCCGGAACAGGCTCTGCGGTGATTCTCGCCGCGAAACACGCTTGCCAAGCGCATATGGGGCCGAGGCAGTTAGTCCCTGGGTTACTGCAAGCAGGGCCCTGGCTGTCCCCGGAGCGGCCCCAGTTCCTACTTCTTTCTAATGTTGCTCAGGATGGGATTTTTTTTAACAGAATATTTACCTCTTTGCTTTCTCCATAATCTTTTCCATAGTCTAACAACTTGCGGTCCTGATAGCCCCATGCTCCAGCTCTTCTTAATTTGCAATCCACACCAGGAAACATTTCAGAAGCCTCATTTCAGATTTAGAATAATATGTTGAAGGGAAAAAAAGCTGTTTTTCTCCCCTGACCTCCTTCCCGGGCGCTTTTCTATCTTAAAGGAAATCTTACATATACGAGTGTTAAGCTTTATATTGGCAAAATGTCTTGTGACTAAGCTAACGAAACGGTTTTTGAAAACAGAAAAAGCATCATGTTAGCACAGTGTAGACAACGTACTCCCAGACTTCCTTTCTGAGCAGAGGGGACTCAGATATTATGGTTGCTCTGCTCTGAAATGAAGGTTCTCTTAGTTTTTCCTTGCTTGCTCAGGTATCTTTGTGAATTCTGTAGGTCTGCTTTATGCAGCCATTAACCCAAGCTTTTTTGGAATAATAGATTGAGGATTCTCTAAGAATATTTGTTTATCAAGAATTTAATCATACAACAACAGCGTAGTATACCAAAAATCCTGTAATGTTATTAATTAAAATGGGTGAACTTCCCCTTTGACAATGCCACACACATCCTTGTGGACTTCCTGCAAGGTCTTTAAGTTTGTACACACTCAATACTAATTCACAGTGGTGCTAAGGTCAGCTACTGTTTGTATTATATATAATACGCACGCATGAGCTTTCTGAGCTTTCTATCACTGCTGTGACAAATTACCACAGACTGGGCGGCTCAACACCTCTCGAATTTATTATCTTACGAAGTTAAAAGTCTGACCTAGGTCGGCCTGGGCTGGCATCCCCGTTTGGGTGGGAAGGACGCATTTCTCTGCTCTTTGTGGCTTCTGGACACCACCTACGTGGTCTTTTTATCCTAGAGCCAAGAGGGTCGCCTCTGACCATTTTTCCAGTCCTCCTGGAGCCCTGCGGCCACGTCCAGAAGAGCTCCTCCGAGCTGAAGACCCCGTGGGATTAGACTGAGGCTAAGTGGGTATCCATCCCATGACAACGTCTTCTCTCAAAGTCCTTCGTCACATCTGCACAGTCCCTTTGCCAGAGCCCAGGCCTGGGGATTAGGACACGCACGTCTGTGGGGTCATTCGCCTGCCTAGCACCACAGCGCCTGCGGGAGGAATGGCTGCTGTGTAACATTCCATATCACCGAAACGCTGGACAGCGCCTGTGGAGTGTTCACTCTCTGTCAGGCACGAAACTAAGCACCGTACAGGTATTACTTACAATCCCCACCAATCCAAAGTGTACAGACATATATATTATTACTGTGCATATGCAGGAATTATTTCCATATTAGAAATAAGCAAATTGAAGCTTTGAGGACTACAGTAACTTTCCTAGAGTCATAGCTAAGGGCTGCGTCAGAAAACAAACCCAAAGCCTTGTGACCTCAGCGCGTCCCTGGACCCCCAGTGCCCTCGTCCCTGGAAGTCTTGACTCTCACACGAGCAGCTTTATAATCTTCACTTTTATGGGTGCATAATGTTCTGTTAGGTGGATTTACCATTCACGTAGCTCTCCCCATATTTCCTGACATTTAGGATACACCATTTCCCCCGGCATCATAAATAACATCACAAAGAAAAGCATTGCTCAGTGGGTATTCTTAAATAACTGGAGTTTTTTCACAGCTTAGAGTCTGAGAAGTAAAACTTCAGGGTCGATGTGGTGTGAACGTTTTTATGGCTCTGTATACACACTGTCAAGTGACCTTCCCGAAGTTATGCTAATTTATATGCCACCATTATTCCTGAGAATAAATGTCCCATGATTCTTCCAGGCAGGATGACAAGGAGCCTCAGGTTTAACTGGCTCTTGATTGCAAAGTATCTCCCATAAAACAGTCCCATAGAATCTTAGAATATGATGAGCCTTTGGAAACTGTCTAATCTAACCCTGTCTTGTCTTTCAGGCGTTCGATGACACAGTGTACTTCACACTACCAGCGACTGGTTCATGGTTGTCACCGCTCATCCAAAAATGTAGCTTCTTCAGTGCAGGGACAGACGCACCTTGTCTACCTGGTTATCCCCTACTAATACTCCGTGTGTGGCACCCTGCAGTCGCCTGTAATTTATTAGGGCCTCCTTGGTCAACCCAGAATCAGGCATTCGGTGTCGTGAAATGAACACTGGAATCAGAATCAAGGGACCTACATTCTAGCTTCAGGTCGCCACAGGTAGTTGTGACATAATTTTTCTATTCTTCAGTTTCATACTTTGGAAAATTACAGGTTTACTTTATCCTCTTTAAGATCTCCTTTAATGCTAAAACTCAATATGCATTTTAAGCCCAATGACTTCATTTTACGTCACAATCCTCCAAAGAGTTAAAAGACATGCAGGTGGACCTTTGATTTTCTAATAATCATTTTCTTCACATTTTGGGGGAGAGGGACAGGCAGAAGCCGATTGTTTCCAGACCTGTATCCTTCAGATAATCTTCCGTGGACACACCTCAGTTGGGCATTTTCTTTTGCAATGCGTGATGCTTAGAACAACACACGGATCTTCTAGCTGCTCTCTAACCAGGCCAGAAGCTGGTAGGACTTAAATGAGAAATAGCCCAGACTCTCAGGAGTGCATGTCAATGTGTCTTAGGGGGTTTCAGTGCTCACACAATGGCTGCCGCGTACCATTATATATTTTTATTTATCTAAAATTCCCTAGGACTTGTATTCTTCTTCACTTTCGTTGCCTTCACAGCTTTAACATGTGCCCCCGGGTTAGGAGATGTATGGACCTACCAGTAAACGCCTGGTACTGCCTTCTGGAACAGGAAGAAACCAGGAGAAGAAAAAGGCTCGCCTCCAGGACGCGAAGGTCAGGAGGAATGGCGACGTGCTAAACCACCGGCACGGGGGGAGCTTGTTTCCGTTGCCCCTGCAGCCCCAGCGCCAGGAACCATGCCTGGGGCAGAAGAGGCACTTCCAGAGTCTTTGCCGAGTGAGTCAAGAGCTGGGGAGCCAGACCTAGAGGGTCCTTGTCATCGTAGGCCCTTCCAACTGTTCCCTGAGATCAGTTAGTTATAGACGAGGCCAGGGTAGCCCCTGGGCCGCCCCTGCCTGGTACAGGTCTAGAGAGAGGTGGTTTCAGACACACACCTCCTCATTCCAGGCACGTCTGTGGGAAATGAGCCGATGTCGCGTCACTGGGTTTAACGTCAACATTTGTTTTATCGAATAGAACTATTAAAGAAGTAGCCATGTGGCAAAACAATTAAAATTTTTCTTTTCCAAAATTAGGACCCATTAAAAAAATCCTAATGAGAGAGGATATTTAAGAGACTATGGAGAGTCAACAGTAATATATTATACACTTAAAAATTGGTTAAAAGAGTAAATATTATGTAGTTTTTCTCACGATAAAATAAAATAGGAATCTGAGTTTTAGGGTATCAGCTGGCTCAAGGTTTCCTATTCTAGCCTCATTTCCTGTCCACCAGGTGCAAGGCTCTTCTTGAAATTAAAGAGACTACCAGACACAGGGAGACCTCAGAAAGGGCACACGGCAGGCTAAAGCATTCGCAGCACCAGACAGCACTTCTGAGGAGGAAGGGCTCCCGGATGCTGTTATTCTGACTGCGGCTGCTCGGAGACCCGGAGACTTTCCCAGGCCCTGCAAAACCACTGACTCTTGGCTGTGATCTGTCTGCACCGTGTTAAGCAAGCCAACATAAACATAAGCAAACAATGCTAAAAACAAAAACAAAATTAAAATCCAGTCACTTCCAATGCATGACGTCCCACTCTTACCTAGATAGGAAGCGAGCGGTTCGCTCTTCTTGGTGGGCTCCGCGTTGAAGGTGGTGTTTGGGGGGATTACGATTTGGTTTGCCTTCTGCATGACCACCGTCCCGTTCCAGTCGTAGGCTCCTACGGCTCCCAGCATGACCCACTCCTGACCCAGAAACAGAAAACAGTGCTGTGGCATCGGTTGTAAGAGCAAACCCTTACACAGCACTAAGCACGCGACAGGAGCCCCTCCAAGTGCTGAAGGCCCAGGAACTCGCGTGCCCCTCGCAATAACCGTGCGGGCTAGACCCCAGTATCGCCACCTCCAGGTGACAGAAGGAGATGCGGAGGCCGGGTAAGTGCCCGGCCCTGGGCTCCAAGGCACAACCGCGCCCTGAAATGTCATTGTGCCTCTGCAGGGACCCTGGTGCCTGTTCTTTTGCCAACGACAAAGGAAAACGCTTGCACATGTTAACCCTGAGAAAAAGATCTGTTCTGTACCATTAGCAAACATTCCAAATGAAGTATTTCACTTCGCCAGATGGAAGCGCTACACAAGGTGGGCCTCAAGCAGATTCGCAATTATTGCGGCGATGCAGCGAGCTGGGCGGGGAACCTGCTTTCCGACTGGGTCGCTTGCGGGTGCCATCCTCCTATTTGGATTAGAGATGTCACCACAGCTGCACAACCGCGCAGGCCGCTGACCGCAAGTCACACGTGTGATGCCCATGCCTGGGTACCGGTTTGAGGAGGAGGCCTCAAAAAGTATGTATTTCATGTTCTTGAAATATATTCGTGAACTGTCTTTGATTTTCTTGAAATAAAAAAAAAAAAAAAGCTTTTCATTTTCAGGCGGTCAACATACCTGTGAGTAGTGCGCACTGAAGCCGGTCTGCGACATTTCCATTTCGAAGGACGCCGCTGACTGGTCAGCCGTAGCTGCGATGTGGGAAAAGGAACGCCCGTTACACGCTGCCCACTCGCGGGAGACAGAGACCCGTGTGGCCCACGGTCTTCACCAGCCAGAGCTCCGACACCCTTTTCAGGCGCGTGTTCCTGAAGCCAGGACTCCCAGGCAGGGTGGGGCGAGGAGGGACGTGCGCAGGGCTGTGCAGGCTCCTGCTCCCCTGCGGGGGTCGCTGGGACACCCCGTGCGTGCCGTGTCCCTGCACACTAGCCTGCTAACAGGGCCCGAGGACCTTGACACCCACAAGGCAGGAGCCACAAGTCCTTCAGTTGGAGACCTCTGGCCCTGGCAGCTCTGCTGAGACATTAGCCCAAACCCACCTGGTCCCTCCCAGGCTGAGAACACTTCATTCGCATTTGAAAGAGGTTTCTCGATTCTACCAGCCCAGCCAGTGCATCTGGCTAGAGATCCTCTCAGCACCCTGCTGAGATCCCGCAAAGTCCTGTGCCTTCAGCACTTGGAGGTCCCGCTGTTTGATAAAGGGGGTGCAGGTTCTGGGTTCCTATTTGCTCTAATTTCCGCCTGTGGGTATCCTGCACAGATCAGGAGGGGACTTTGTGACCGGGCTCTGGGCCACCGGCCATGTACTATCATATACGTCTATTTTTTAAGATGCTGCGCCCACTTTGAAGCCCTTTACTGAAATGCGGAGCTAACCCTGAGCGCTCCATGGACGTGCGCTCCTCCCAAAACATCCACCCCCAAAGCCACAGCCTCCTGAGGGGATGGATGCAATGGCGATTTTGTGGCTTTCCGTAGGGAGTTACTGATTTATTTGGCCTTGCAGATAAGTTAAAAATAGAGCATATTTTAAGGCTGTCAGTCTGTCCCTTCACTGAGGCATGAGAATAATCACATCTGTGGAATCACTTACTTACTAGTTATTTCCCGGCCTAAATTGGTTAACAAGCCCATCAGTGAGCTGCCTTTTTTATAGGACTAGCTTCAATGGGGAAATCAATCAAGAATTCAAATATATCATTTTAACTGCATGCATCGCCCTCTAATTTAAATGACTGAGGGGCACGCTAACTTTATTGGGAACATTTAAGTTCACAATACTTGAGGGTGAGTCTCAACCAGCATTTTTTTTTTTTTAATTGAAAGAGCAGAGACTAGAATGGAAGGAATGGGAAAATGTCAGAGGGCACGGCATAGAATAAGGGTTATTTTGTGAGATTTTGTTTTACACGTGTCGATGTGTGTGCGCTGGGTCACGAAGCAAACTGTTCCATCGTGGGTCAGTGTCAAAAATGTCAGCGAGCCATCGCTCTAAATCATTCTCTTTCCTTTCTGTGCGTTTTCACACTCTCTGCCTTCCCCTGATCGCCTGGCGCTCAGACGCGTCCACGTGTCCCGGTTACACCCCCTTGCGTTTCATCGTCGTGTTTCCCATTATCAGCCCATAGCAGGGAGACGGGAACGTGCTTTCAAATGTCCACACTTAAGATACAGAAATAACAGTCCTTCCGTGTGTCCTCACAAGGACGGGCACAGCTGGATTAGGACGGAGCCTAAGAGCAGCCCACGCGGGTGGTTTCTCATCCTGGGTGAGCAAAAAGGCTTGTTCGCCCAGTCTCCAGGTTATCAGAGAATGCGAAGGGAAAAAGAGGCTTTTCCAGTTTGCCTGACACGACAATAGTGAAGGCATCTCTTTTATCAGGAAAGATCTAGTTCCACAAGGTTCTGACTCGTTATCCTGGACAGCCAGTCACCGGTGACACATCAAAGACAAAGTCTGCAGAGAAGCAACATGACTTAGACAAACACAGTGAACCGGCATTTCACTGCCCTGAGACTTGAGGCAGGGTTCCTGGAAGACCTTGAACATGGGTAAGGAGCAAAGTAAGAGAAAAGAAGTGAACTAAGAAGTTACTGCCTAAGAGCAGTCCCATAGATGCCCTACATGAAACAAGGACAATAACAAAACTTGAACTAGCGTTTCCATTTCCTAACCACATGGGCACAGTTCCATTCTTACACCTGTCCCCTGACCGGCGTGCCCACTGGCTCTCACATCAGCACTGCCTGCCCTTACAAACACAGCTCCCAGCAGACACTGCTCTGTGTGAAATTGCCATCTATCTCAACGACAGATTCATAGAAAAGGACATTGTTCCATGCTGGCTACTGGATACAGTGAATATACGTTAACCATGTGGTAGGAATCAATAACACAGACCCGTTACAACGAGTTTGAATTATAGATGGAAGATGCAGTGAGGAGAAACAGTCATACCTTCCAGGGCAAATATCCTTTCTCCCAGAGCTTCCACAATGGTGACGAGAGCCAGTTCATCGGAGACGTTGAAGAAGTGCTTTTCAGTGGGCTCACTTGCAATAGATTTTATTTCCTCCACAAATGCTTCAGTGCTTAAATTTCCTCGGCTATAGCTGCCAAGGATCTGAGATGCAACAGAAATGGCAAGAATACATTTTAAATTCTATGCATTAAGTAAGGATCTCAAGCATCTTGTCAGTAAACAAGAGGTGGTTTAGTATCTTAGCATAATGCAATCGTTATGTACTTCCACCATTCTTGGCAGAATAATGACCAGAATACATGGATTCTTTAGGATTAACTGTTACACACTATAGTTAGTGTAGGAGAATGTAAGGGCGATCTTGTGCGTTTGTGAAAGTTTCCTCATTTGCGTTCCTGTGTACCTGTTTATTAACAGCTGCATCTTTAAAATCTGACTGTGCACAAGTAATGCTAGAGTTTCAGAATGTCCCTCACATTATGCTAGTTAGTGACATCACCACTTGCTGGGAAAGCAATTAGCAAGTGAGTTGCTTGACCTTGAACTGGCAGCTCTTCCTGAAAATCTTATCAAGGGGCAGTGTAATACATGCATATTTTAAACAGATATTAGACACAGAAGTAATCTAACTTGGCAATCTAGAAAATAAGCAATCGAGACTTCCTGTTTGAAACTAAATGCCCAAGACGGGGACATCCTTTTTCATAGAGAAGGGAGGCAGGAATTTTCTTTTATAGTTAACTACAATTATGTAGATATCCTAGAGGGTTTTCTCAAACATTTAGTTTATTTTCTAAAGTAAGGTTTATCAAGATATAATTTATATATGGTAAAATTCACCCTTTTTAGATACAGGGTTCTGAGTCTTGACAAACCTATCCCGTGTGTCCCCATCCCATCGGGAGCAGAGTATTTCCATCAACCCGAAGTTCCTTCTTCCCCTTAATCCCCCCTACACCACATGGAAACCACATGGACCACGTTCAGGGGGGCAAATGCCCCAATGATACACTTAAAGGATAAGTATGGAACTTAAAAATGCAATACAGGAGCACATGTTTTGAAGAAAAGGTAAGAGAAAAGAATTCCCATGCATTACTGTGACTTGCATCCAGTTTGAATGATTCCTCAACACAGGATAAAAATAAAAAGAAGGAGACATGTATTTTGGTCCTGCACCCAAGGGCCTCATAGCTTGTAGAAACATCGCCTTCCACGGAGGAGAAGAGAGACACAGTAACACATAAATGACTCCGGCTCCACCGAAGGCGAACCCGCGAAGGCCGGGCGCCGGGCGCTCTGCTAATGGCTGCTTGAAGCCCAGATTCAGAGCGGGGGCCTTGAGGCAGATTCATCAAACGTAAGGGGCACAGTTCACGTCCAGGTAGTGCGGGGCCTTTTGCGTGCGAGTGAATGGAATTCTAAGACGCTTTCCAGCTTCGCTAATTTTCCCTTGAACGCTGTAGGCGACTGGGTTTCACAGCTGGCCGGGTCCCGGCCGTTGTCATTTAAGGTTAGAATCGGAGCAGAAGGCAGGCTCTTGCTAGTGGCATCTGATACCCTCCAGCGACAAAGCAGCGCCCACGGACCTCTGTGCTCAAAGCCGCTCGGGACCCACGCGCCATCTGGGAGCTTAATGGGAGATGCTTGTGGTTTTCTCACAGACGGCTTATTGTTTTAGTGGTCAGTCCTTTTCGGGTGCTCACTCCCTGCCCCCCAAACACATCTCTGTGGTGGTCAAGATCAAATGGTGGGTAAAACTAGGCGGAGCAGGAGGAACATTCCCGCTGCTAACGGGCCGGCCCCCTGGCCGACTGGATCGGGGCGGCCTGCGTGGGCCCGGAGGGACATGCCAGAGTCTTCCCTGGGGACGCGCGAGACGGGAAGTAAAGCCACGGCCTCATTTCCTAGCTTGGCAGGGACTAAACGTATACATGGTTCACCCGGGGGAAAAGAAATATGAGTTGGGGAAATAACAAGTAATTATTGCTAACATGAAATTTTCTTACACATTCTTATTTATACTATTTTGAAGAGCAGCCTGATAATATATAATGCATTGATTAAAACGGGAAAGGAACTCATGATTTCAGGTTCTCCAGGAAGATTAATGCAATTATAAGACCTCTTGGTGACCAGAGGGGGCGCCAAGTAGGAATTATGAGCTGGGGTCCAGACAAAGGGAAGCATAGAGATGCAAGGGCAAGAAATACTAAACATGTAGCCAGATACCATGTAAAAGTGATAGAAGACACACTTAAAATTAAGAAGTCATCTGCTGATAGCTACCCTCTTTCCAGGGAAGTTTTCCTAGTCTGTTAATGCCGCCGACAGCTCCTTCAGTTCATGGTCTGACTCTACGACACCTGGGGTGCTAGACTGTACCCTCCGGGGGAAGCTGCGCAAATGACAGCAGCTTTGGTACCCAGCTGTCGGGGATGGGGGGCACCCCCAGGCTTTGCCTGCTGAGGAGCCAGCCATAGACTCTACCTGAGGGCAGTATCTCTGAGGGAAGGCCAGGCCTCATGGAGTTATTCTCCACCGTGGAAGACGTTGAAATAGTTACAATAACCAAGGAGGTAACCATGAACAATAATTGTCAAAAGATAATTGACAGAAGTAAAAGAAGGGTAAAGAGAAATAACGATTGATTTTGTTCCATCTTGTACCCCAAATGAAAAAGTAACTGCTGTGGTCAGAGCCCAGCGAAGGGTCCGGAAGGAAGGCCGGATGCAGCCCTCGAGGTTCTCCCACTGCGAGTCGGCTTCGCGGTCTGTGGGGGAATCTCTGAAGGTGTCTGCGCAAGGAGGTCACGTAATCTGTCTCTGAGACTCCTGCTAGCTCTACAACGCTATGATTTCATTATTTCATGCTTGCACACTCCTTGAGATGAAGATCTTAAGAAAGAAAGGCTGGCTGCCTGGCCTGTGTTCCGGTGCTTTTATAGTCATTATCTCTCCGATTCTTTATCTGGGACAGAGGAGAAGAGAGACAATGTGACCCTCTTCTGCAGATAAAGAAGCCAAAGCTCAGAGCCTTGAGTAACGTGTCCACTGTCCTGGAGCCAGAGCTCGGCAAAGGCAGAATGAGAACAAAGGTCTTTCTGACTCTAAAACTTAGAGCCCTCTGCCCTTCCCCACCCCCAGCCTCCTCCTTATCACGTCTGGAAAACGAGTCCTCTCACTCAGGCCGGGGCGGGGGTGGGGGCGGGGGGGCGCTGGGGAAGGGGGCCGGCCTGTGTGTCCTGGGGGCAGCTCTGTATGAATGGGTTCTTACTCCCTGATTTCCCCTGTTTTGTCCCGTTAGCAATTCCAGGGCGCTGGGAAGTCCCTCCTGACTCCTCAGGCCTAGAGCGGGGTTTCCCTTGGTCGTTTACGGCGATGGCACATGCTGGTGCCTGCTCTGTGCTCCTGTGCTGGAATCGCTTTAGATCTGGCGCCAAATGCGCCGAGGTGGGGAGACTGGGGGCTTTGGGAGGAGTGGAGACAGGTGAGCACCGCCCAAGGCCACCCAGAGATCTGGGCAGTGGCAACGAGAAGCAGGCAGCCAGGCGGGGCCTGGGGGGAGGCGGAGGCACGGGGACCCAGGACGAGTGAGGCAGGTCCGGCCAGTCGGGGGGCTTGGCCTTGTGGGCTGTGGCCCTGGGGCCTGCCCCCCCTGCCTTCCTTGTTCACAAAAGGGGAAAATGCAAGCTGCCCTTGGGTGCCACGAGGGGCGGGGAATGGTGTGCAGGACGCAGACATGAAAAAGCCATTCTAAGTTAGAGTGTCAGGGAAGCGATCATTCAAATTATTTTCCACGTTTGAAAGGTCTCGTTTTCTGGATGTCCCTCACCATGGGGTGACACTAGGAAATTAAGTCAACCAATTTCATGGGACTATGAAGAGTCGAATGAGGAAAAAAGTCATCAATCAGCGGTATGACGTATTCAGACAGCTTTTCCCTGGATTTGCATCTTGAGAGACAAATGTGACCTGTCAGGAGTGGACTGCCCTGAATCGGAGCAGGTGCGCTCACAGAGGCACGCGGGCCTTTCTGTCGTATTCTCTGCATCCTCAGCAGCAGCAGGCCAGGGGGTCCCTGGGAACCAAAGGCAATGCCTTCTCTGGTCCTTTGCCCTTCTTGTCCAGCTTAAATGTAGCTCTAGGGAAAACACACGCTTGCAGCCGCTCTCTACCTCACTGTGGCCGCGCAGCTGGGGGCGTGGGTGGGGGGCCTGGGTCCTGCACGCGGGGCACAGACAACCGTGAGCGTCTCCCGGTTCCTCCCCGTTCCCGAAGTCGTGCTCAGGGGTGGCGTGTGCAGAAGGGCACTCGCACCATGGAGCCCCTAAGAGAGCCCTCCCGTAGGAGAAAGCTCTCCTGCGCCGCAGGGCAGACTGCCCAGGGCGGACAGAAGCCTGGGTGACCCGATGCTTCTTTCCTGCTGCTCAAAGAGTTGTGGGTGTGGAAATATCATCGCTGACTTTTAGGAGATTATTTTAAGGGGCATGTCCTGATTTTCCACCCTCCCACATTATAGGAAGAGTTATTAATCAGCAGGCGATGTTTACGTATTACCTACATGTCTTCAGTTCCCTCCCTCCCTCCTTCCCTCCTTTTCTCCCTCTCGCCCTCCGTCTTTTCCCCTCCCCACCCTCTCTCCTCCTCTCTTCTCTTTCCCCCTCCCTATTTCTGTCTCTTTCTTCCTCCCACCCCCGTTTTATCTTCTCGTGTTTTTCTCCTCCTTCCCCTTCGTCTTTCCTCATGCTCTCCCTTCCTTCACTTCAGTGACCGGGGGTCGAGCCTCTGGCCTGGGGCTGTGCTGGCCGCTGAGGACCCAGGGGGACAAGGCCCGATCCTGCCTGCACAGAGTCCACCTCCAGGGGGACACGCGTCTCCTGCCAACCTCGTCTGTGCGGCCTTCATTCACCGTCCCTGATGTGCACCCAGCGTGGGCGCCACACCCTCGTCTGAGAGCCCTCGGTGGCCGCGTACTCACAGCTATGGAAAACCGCTGAATATTGTCGTCCTCGCAGTCTTGGATGACCTGACCCAGTCGGTGGTTGTCATGAGACTCTCCATCTGTCACAATGACCATGACCTTTTTAACCCCTCTTCGGGCGCCCCGGGCTTCGGTGAAAGCCTCTTTCCTGAAACAGACAAAAGAGGAGCAAATAAAGCAGCACCCCACGGTGAGGCCGAGGCCGGCGAGAAGCAGGATGGGAACACAACCCAGGGAGCCCTGGGCTTTCCCTCCAAGGTCGACGCTGACGCCTCCAGTCCAGGCCAGGGACGATGCCCACCGTTTGCCCCAGTGTTAGGTTTACTGCAGGTGACGGGGAGCTCCCCCGTGTGCCAGTCGCCATCCATCCCAGGTGCAAGAGGCAGCCGGGCGTCCCTCCTTGGGCACTTCGGAGGGAGGGTGCGACGCGGGATCTTACCCGCCCTCCCGGCCGGGCCTACACTCTCTGCGCGCCTGCCTTTCCACTGCAGGTCTCTTTCTTCCGCTTTGGGCCACGGCTTCTGCTTTAGGACCTCCCCCCAACCCCCCAAACATACACACACCCCTACTCTGACAGGCGGAGAAGAGCTTGGAGACGCACGGAGCAGGGCGAGGAGCGGGGAGATAAAGGACGAGTGTGCGGCTGCGCCTGCGGGCAGGGCTCTTGGGCCGGGGAGGGCGGAGGCAGAGGTAGGAATGAAGACCGCAGGCGGCGGTGTCTGACTCGGGGCAGGAGACGGGTACGGGCCAAGGGCGGCTGGAGGGGCAGTGAAGGGTTTGGCCTGAACTGGGTTTCAGGCCACAGGCTGGGGGCGGGGTGGGACAAGGTGGCAGGAGAGAAAGGAAAATGCTCTAATTGACCATTTCTGTTTGCTTCATGTCTTCTACACACATTCACATACTCACACACTTTCCCTCTCTCGGTTACTTTTCTTTTATTCAACTCATTTCCCTCTCTGTGGTCTTGAAGAAAAGAGGGCATTTTACTTAGCATTGAAATAATAAAAGGATCTTTGTATAATATTTTTCATTTTTTGGTATAAAATGCAGCCACCGCTGTACTGAATGGTCCATTTAAACATTTTCCTCTGGTCTTGAGAAAAAACCGCCGCCGTGTGGGCTAAGCCCAGTGAGCTCCTCTCCTGAACGAGCCTTCGGGACGGCCTGCGCGTGTGCGTAGCCTTCCCGCAGACCCGCGGCAGACCTGGGCGGGCGTTTCCCGAGCTGGGAGAGGGGCCCTGGCGAGGAGGGCGGAGGGGCTCGCCTGTGGCCATCTTCCCCTTCAAGGGGCTTAAAGCAAGTCAGACCAGGGAGTAACTCCTGCCTCGATTCTCTTTGATGCATACATAGCACTTTGCTGCACCTTTTATACATTTTAATTTTTTCCTGAAGTTTTCACAAGAAAAAAAAAATATGAGGAAAATATAGATCATGGGGAAATGGCATATCTCGGCCTCCTACACTATCCACGCAGGCTTCTGACTTCTTTCTATGCAGATGCAAAGGAGGAAACATGTGAAAGGCTCGTATTTAAATGAAGTTCCATATGAAGGTCATGAAACTCAGTCCTTTTTACAGTTCAAATCCCTAAGAGGATCACCATTGGAAGGTCAAGGCCACGCTGAACAGACACCAGCCGAGGGAGACGGTCAAAGGCCTTCCTTGGGGAGGACCCAGCGGCTCGCAGACCAGCGCTGGCTCTCCGTAGGGGGCAGTAGCCACGGGCTGACTCCCGGGCCCGCCCTTTCTGTCTCAAATGTCCTTAGCAAATTGCCTTTGACCCCAAATACCGCCATCCAGTGTTCTTTCTTTACATTAAACATGGACCTCCCTGCAGGCTTTTAAACATGCAAAAAGTCCCCAGAGGATCCCTTTCTTACGGATAAGAGAATCAAGTTCTTATGATTAAACATGTGAGCGTATTGAAAAGAAAGAACATTTGGGGTGCCGATAAGGGGACACAAAAATATTTTGAACTGGGAGACACTGAAAATGGAAGTAAAGGATTCTAAACAAATAAAAACAGTGTTTGCCACTGGACCTGCCTGAAAGCGATAAACAGCAATAAAAAAAATACGCTTATGTACAAGAAACTAACTTGAAAGAAGGCTAGGTAGTCATATCACGTGGAATTTTATTTACACACCAAGGTCAATGAACTCTGAGTCCCACAGCTAGACCCTTTGCGAGACACACAGGCAAAAGCCGTAAGGGATGCGGCATTTGGCGTAGCATTTATGCAGGAGCAAATGCAGCCAGAATACTTCTTCCATCAGTCTCCAAGATGAATATTCATTCTTCAGCGGCTGCCTTTGGAAAATGCACCGCTCCCTATAGGCTCCGCGCTTTCAAAGGGCACTTTGATTTGTGAGGCATGCGTGGTCACAGTTAGTCAATAATATGGGAGGCGCGTTCACGACACCAAGACACGTGAACACTGGGCCTGCACGTCGGCGATCCCACAGGCTGGTAAATGCAAAACACCCCATCTACGTGCGGTGTTCTCTTGGGCTCCGTATAACTAGAAACACGTGCTTTTCTTACATTTATGAGCATGTGAAATTAAAAATTTCTGAATGTCCAACCCATTCTTTGGAGCATCCATAGTGCTTATTGTAATCTCCTTAAAACTCTGATCTTGGCAGGCAGACAAAGGGCCAGCACAGGCGATTCGCTCTTGGGGACCAGGGGAGCGTCCAGGCACTGAGCCACTTGACAGAAGCATCCTTAACGCATGAAACTACTTACTAGGTTAGCAGTGATTTGGGTGGTGTTTAGTTTTTGTTCAGAAACATACTGGCTCTAATAGGGATGAAGGTGATACACAGCAAGAGGCAAGAGATGAAGGAGAAAAAAATGCGAAAAAGAAAAGGCACGGCAAGGAAAGGACAGTTTCATAGGCTCTTGCAGAAGGGCGTCCAACCACAGGGCAGGTTGCGAGCTCCGCAGGGAGGGGACTGCAAAAGGGAGGGAGGGGGGAGGGGACGGAGGGAACTTGGAGGAAGTAAGAAAGAAGAGGGTGCATCACAGATAAAATTCTTCCCACTCCTTTCAGTCTTCACACTGAGAATGATTTCCAATAAGGCAATTTTGAATTTGGCCTTTTGAAAGCTCTTGTTTGAGAATTTCTGTAAGCCCAAATCAGGCATGGTAAAATTATAGACATACTGAAACATAAATATATATTGAGTAGAAGTGGACTAACCATTCTTTTTTTTAAGATTAAAAATCCTAGAAGCTGAAAACAAAGAATGAAGGGGAAAGGTAGCCATTCATAGCCTGTCTTAGTCCCCAAGAACATGATGCAGTAGAATACCATGATTTTTTTTTTATCAATTTTCCATCAATTAAACCCTTGGAATAAAAGAAAAGATGTGAGGAGTGGTGAAATTATATTATAGAAAAACTTGATTCTTTAACTATTAGCTAATTTGCTGAATCTAGCTTTAAACAAGGTGGCTGGAACCAAGGTAAATGCTCAGTCAACGCTGCACAGGGGTAGACTGTGGACAGTTGTTTTTGCTCAGACTTTGACTTTGGTTGACTTTTTAAACATGTACCTTGCTGTGTCTATCCCAAGGGCTGTCTTCGTCTGGCGGCCGCCTCTCTGGACTATTTTATTGGCAGCAACAAGAACGTCCTCTGTTGATGAGTAGGTGTTGAGGTTGAACTCGTGGGTGACATTTTCTCCATACTGTACAATCCCAACCTGAAATACCAAGCCATGGTCAGTCATCGATCCAGCAATATGCCCCGTTCCAATTTCAATCAGTTTGAACATGTAGATCAGAGGTGATCCGTTTGAATCTTTCAGATGAGGTTAAAAATCTATGAGAACACAAATCCTGCTCGTTTGACAGCAGTAATTCCGTTCTTTGTGGACAGTTATGGCCTGAGGAACGAAAACAAAAGTGCTGCCGCTGAACTCCTCCAACAGCTGGCTTATCCCTGCAGCAGTTTTTACTGTAGACTGAGTGGGCCGCGGGGGGCGGGGCGCCCTGCCAGTCCCGGCCTTCATTTTCGGGTTTCCAAAGGAAGACAGAGATCAAACACGTGACCCTTCAAATCCACGGAAAAGCTGTTACCAGCAAGAACAAGGAGGGCCCTAACTTAAAACAGAGGCTCAGGGGAGGCCTTGCAGAAGTGATGTTTCAGCTGAGACCTTGCTAGGTGCTAGGAGGGCAGAGGCCGGCTCTGGATGGTGGCTGAGAGGCAGGAGGGGGCCCACGGAGGGGGAGTGGGCGGGAAGAAGCCGAGACGGGGACAGGGGAGGTGTGTCCAGAGAGCGGAAAGACGGTCAGCCAGCCGAAACCAGGGAACGCGGGCAGTGCGGAGCTAAGAAGGCGGGCCGCGTGCAGGGCTGTGCGGCTAGGGCGCGCCTGCTGCGTGCCGCGCGTGGCTCAGCTGTGGCTTCGCTTCTCTCAGATCAGTCCCTCTCCCACCCCCGTTTCTTGTTCCATCCTCCCTCCCTTACTGTCTCCTTCTTTCTTCTCCCTTTTCCCACAGATTGAACAGTATAGGCAGAACCGCCAGGGAGTCAAACGGTAAAGAAGGTCACATGTCCCCAACATTCGATTTCCTTTGATCCATAGTTCTCTCTCCATCCCAGAGATGCCCATTTCTCTTATTTGTTTTCACACCCTCCCTTAGAGGTGGATGTGAAGCAATGAATTATTATTCTTAAGGGGAATCGTGCAGGCTTGATGTTGTCTTTGTATATATAAATGCTCCGTGTAAATTAAAGTGAAATGATTTTATTACTTAGGTAATCATTATGCCTGATTTTGTGCACCAAGCTAAATAAATGCTGCTGTGGAAGTTAATCGCTCACCCATTCAGGACATTGTGCAGAGCTGGCTTTGTTTTTATTTCCCTTTGTTTTTATTTGAGCAAGCAGGAGGCCAAAGAACTTTGAAAACTGTCACGCTTGTCATTACTCTTGGACATTCCACTGGTTGGGTGAATCTGTTGAACCCCCCAGTCTCTCATTTCTTCGACTCCCCGAGCTTGAGTAATCGTTCCCTCTAGCTCGCCTGTGTCATCCGCTCCCAAGGTCGTGTCATCGACCTTGTCACCTGGAGGAACTGCTGCACCTCAATCTCGATTTCAAGCGTTCTCTCTGACCGTTAACTTCAGCTTGTTTCCCTTGTGCACCTCATTCATTCCTCGACCACATCAAGACTTCCAATGTATCTGCAGATCTTAGCATTTTTTGTGCCTAGCCTCGTTGCTGCGATCCATCACCATAATCATTTACTTACAAAGGTTTAACTCTTGACCTTGTTTTCCCTACATTAACTCACTTGGCTGACTTCCAACTCTGCCTAAGTCTAAATATCTCCTCCGCTGGGTAGGCTGCTGGGACACAATGTCCTAGACCAGAACACCACCGCTTGGAGACGGGTCTCACTTCAAAGTTTGATCCATGCACCTCCACCCTGGCGCTGCCCAACGGTCCTACTAGTTTTTGCTAATGGCTGCACTTGCTCTCACATATTGAGCTCAATCAAATGCTGGTCATAAGCTGTTACCTCCCCTGGAAAGAGTGTCTGACTTACACACGGGAAGGAGGTCGCGTGAGACCAGGTCGCGCCAACTCAACGAGGCTGTTTTGCGCTGTATGTTTTCCACTGACGACACGCTTTCCATATCGTATAGAACCTAACCTGAATTATTAGGTTATCTGGCCAATTATCCTCATACCAGGAAGAGCAAAAACACATTTAACACCTTGGTAAGTCAGTGGCCAGCGCTTTACATCTTATCTCATCTGTCTGCCTGTCTACCTACCTAACGTTTATCTCACCTCTGTAAGCTCCTTCTACGTAACTATTAAGGTGTAAGAGGACTAACAGTGGCCCATTCGCTCGCCCTTTCTTTAGACTTTGCTTCTAACAACTCTCCCCAAGACTGTTCTCAGATGAGCCCCTTGGCCTGGTAGAGCTGCTTTGCCCCAAAGGTTCAAGGGGACAGAACTGTCTGGAAGTTTGTCCCCTCCTTCGTCCCTGGCCCTGATTCCTGGGTAATGCCGGGCGCCTCTTCCAGATCAGGCTGCGCCTGGACTTCAGCTGCAGTCACACCCGTCTTGTCCTCCGCTGCTCCCCTGTCTGGCTGCCCCAGATCCCTGCCTACTTTCTTGCGGAAGCACTTCCGTATTAAGTGGCCGTCACTTGGCTCCTTCTTTTAGGGTTCGCTTCCAGTGGCCACCCCCAACCAGGCCAGACACCGTTGCCTTGGCCCTGGGCCACCGCAACGGCTGGTCTCTCCACCACTGAGCTCTCTCCCTCCATTTCCACTCTCCTCAAGTCCTTCTGCTGGTTAATGGCGGACTAATTGTCTTGGAATTCTTTTATCATGTAACTTCCTTGTTCATAAAACGCTAATACCTCTCCATTGCCTGCACCAATGACTTCAAAATATACTTTCAAAGAGGATTTTTATTCTAATTAAAATAGAAAACAGGTCACACTTCAAGCTGTCCCTTGAAATACCAGGCCCATTGGTTAAAATTCAGGTTTCTTGCCTGACTCTCAATCACGTATCGGCCTGGCCCCCCCTTCTCTATCCTTGCTCACCTTCAGGCTCCCAGCGTGAACTCTCTCCCCACCAAATTCCCTTCCTCATCCCTCCAACTAAGCGGAATTCCACCTGCTCTGTAAGATTCCCCTTTCACTTCCTCTGCAGAGCGCTCCCCACTTAGTCGCCAGCGTCGCCCAAACCGAGCTTCCTCCGGATGGGCTCGAAGCCGACTGGCCGGTCCTGCCCCTGCGGGTAGCGCGTTCTTCTCAGCCCTTCTGCATGCACGCTCCACCCCCCAGCTGCCTTGTAAGTACCAAAGGGGCGAAGAGCAGGGGCAAAGAGCGTGGGCTTTGTCATCGCGTTCGGTATGCTCTTATCTCTTTCCACTGTAACGCTTCGCTCGCAGCTGGCCTTCCTGCATTCTTACGACATGACCGTAACATTTCACATAAGCAACTAGGAAACCGAGATAGGAGGGAAAGAATGATAAGCAGGAGAAGAGAGACACGAAGCCGTGTGGGAAATGAGGAGAGTGGGCAGTGGAAACCCGCCTCGCAGGGAAATGACATTAGTGTAGGCCCCTGGCCGACACCGACTTCAGGAACCAGACAGAGTAAGGCCCGCTGTGTCTTCCCCAGGGAAGGGCCCATTTGTTAACGTTATCACAGGAAAACGGCCACGTGACAAAGTGAACACACGTAATGCTTTGCTGACTATTGGTGAAACCCAATTCAGTACAAATGGTTTCAGTCCCAGCTTAGTGTGTAATTTACAGCACATGAAATAGATTCACATCAGCACAATGTGTATGTACACATGTGCAACAGAATCAGCAAGTGTGAGAATTCAGTAACAAGACACACAGTGAGCTGGGAGGTGGATACACATCGGGAGGAGGTCGCAGGACAGGGAACCACGGACATATTCGCTGTCTCACATCAAAAGCTCTGTGGAGGCGGGAAGACCCAGCTTCCCAATACCCAGATAAAGAACAGACAGAGGGTTGTAAGTTGATGAGGAGACATCAAAGCAGTCTTGAGCCTGGACAACATATCAGGATGATAAGGAACTTTAATCATTACAGAAACCAAGAAAAAGACACTTGGCTAGCATCACTTGAAGCAGCACATGGCCCAAGGGCGGGTTCAGCAGGGGGCTGGGAGGCGCAGTGGAGGTAGGAAGATCCCAGGCATGTTTGCTGGGTGGAAACAAGGGAGGCAGCTCAGCGATGTGACTGGGTTAGAGGTGAGCTTTTGTTTTCTTTTTTAAGGGAGACTGGAAGGAGAGTAGTTTATGACATCAGTAAAAGAGTGGATGAAAATACAGTAACAACAGACTCATAAAGGGGTGACAGCCACAAGGAGACGGAACAGTTGCTTTTCAGAGACAAATGAAACAGACGCATTTATCCGGGAGATGCATTTGAACTTCTTGATGAGTAGGACAGATTCAGGTATATAATTACAGTCTAAGGCCAAAGAAACCTAAGAGCTGATTCAGGCTATAGCACAAAGCAGGTCAAGGATTCTTTTCTACGAACAAGAGGGCTGTATCACTTAGTAGAACCTTTCAGGTAAACATAAGATTTATAATCCCTCTTCAGCTAAACCGCAAACTAATATCCTCTCTCTCCCTTTCCCTGGGTGTACAAGTGTCCTTTTGTACGTTACTAGGTGTGACTTAGAAAAAGAGTTCCGTGGGCGAATGATTCCAGAAGACAACGGGAAACACGGAGCCAAACAGACGTCTCCACAGCGGGAGCCCCGCCCCCTTCTCTGTGTCTGTCTTTCTCTTTTCTCTCTCTGTTATTTACATTAAGAAAAAAATTCCACAACTTGGAAATGATGCAGAAGAGCAGGAATATGTCCCAAAGGCTCTGCTCCAGAACAGAAGCAAATCTTCTGAACGGGTTCTCAGAGTCTTCAACATGGGCACATGCACTGTGGATCGCGAAATGGAAGATACACTTTATTCTTATTTAAGGGAATTTTTTTTGGGGGGGAGGGACACATTCCATACCTCAAACAACTTGGTTTGGAAAACACCGCTTTACACTTTTAAGACTTACCTACTTGTAAAGATTAATTAATTATATTTTTCATTCAATGTCAGGCATTGCAGTTCTCCAAAGATAAGACTTGACCTCATTTCTAAGCGGGAAGTTTTCTGGGGATCGAGAACAAAGTCTTA